GGAATCTGCTCGATTCCCCGATCACACCACAGCTCACAGCGTGTCGCTGAGGCTGGGCTGACTTCTCCAAACCTTAACCTAGACTTTGGAGCTGAGAACACCCTGCAGCCCGCGAGCCTGAGAGCAGCAGCACGCCGGCCACCCGGCGCACATCCCGCTGACCTCATGCGCCTGTAGAGATAGCTGGGAAGTCATCCTTCCCTGCGCTTCCATAGAAAAATGACCAAGTCTCCCGGCTCCACTCCCCTGGCTCACAGCTAAGCCACGGCACAGCTGGAGCTCCGCTACGGCCAGAGCAGCTGGGAAAGCCCCAAAATGAGCCGGGGTCACAGCTGGCACGGGGTGGGCGCAGGGCTGGCACCCGGCGGTGGTGCAAGGGCCGGCAGCGGGGCGATGCCAGCTCGCTGGCTCGTGGGGCTGCTTAGTCACGTAGCACTGGGCTCCCTGGTGTGGTGCAAGCTGGAAAATGCCAATGTTTTTAAAGGCTAAGCAAATAATGGCTTTGGGAAGACCCCTGTTTTGTGTTGACCTGGAATGCAGTGCATGAAGCGCTTGTGGTTCTAAGCAGCGAGGGTGTTGTGTAAGGATGTTGTAGCTGTAGTCATTCCAAGCTTTCTGAGCGTGCTTCCCAGAAAACTGATGTAAGCTAAAGGGCATCAGGAGGCTTACTAATGTATTCTGTTTTTATTCAAGCTAAGAGGAGACAGTGCCCAGACCAAGACCTGAGTGTTATGAGCTAAGTACCTTGGGAACCAACAGGGGATCCAAACAATGGCTGAAAAAACAAGGAATCTGCTTCAGATGTGACCCTGTTTGCTGGACAAAATCCTGTAAGTGACCTCTTCCAAAGCAGGAGGTTCTGTAAAGGACAATTGTACTCCCAGCACCCGCTTGGAAGCTCAGTGGAGATGAGTGAGAGCCGCAGCACTGCACTCTGTAGCTGCTGCAAGAAACCAGATCCAAGGCTTCTTAAAAATAAACGTTACACAAATATTTCTTTAGCTCCCTTTTTAGCTATTGACTCACTGCTGCAGCACTGTGTGACCGAGTCTGCTGGGTATTAATACTCGCAAACGAACAGCTGAATCCACCTAGGGAGAGCGTGGATGAAGGAGAGTCACCTGTTCTTGATTTACACCGCAGCAGACAGCAAAAATTTTCTTCTTTGAAAAAGAAAGACAGACACGGATCCAAAGTGGGGACCCTTCAGCAATGCCTGTGAAGTCCTCAGGCTGCCCAAGTGCCTGAGCTTCTTTTTAGGGAGTAACATCAACATACCAAACTGTTTCCTTCTCATTAACTGCCTTCTCATTCTCATAAAAAGGATTCCTCAGACAGGTTTCACTTTTGGTCAACACAAGGCTAAAATTCTTGTTTCATTAAATAAAATACGAGGAAAAGAGAATAGATGGTGGGGTTTGACCTGGCTCTGGCTGGCTGGGGTTTACAGGTATGGGGCTGGTTCCTCCCCTTACCTGGGGGGCCCGTGGAGCCTGCTGCAGGGCTTCCTGGAGGCCTCAGCTCCGTCTGTCCGACCCCCCCAGGCTGGGAACAGCTCACAGCTGCTGTGCCGCCTCTCATTCAATCTTTGAGCCATCCCCACTTTCAGGAAGCTCCTTGAACACAAAGGGGAACAAAAGTTATAAACTGAGAAGGGAACGAAACTGGGGCAGAGGGATGAAGGGTGACCATGCGTGCCCGAGGCTGGTGGCAACGTGACCAAGGCGCTCACCGGTGACACGGGGGGGTTGGTACAAGCAGGGATGATTCTTCTGCCTCTCCTGCTTGTTTTGAGACCACAAGATGAAAGCCATGGGAGGCTCAGACAGAAACAAGTGCAGGAAGATCTGCACCCACGCCATGGTCCTTGGGGTCTTGTTCTTTGGCACCTTGGGGTGATGGGGCTCAGCAGGGAGAGCGTGGGCATGCAGCGGGTGATAACCATCAGGAGAAAAAACCCTGCGATCAAAAGAAGAAAAAAAATAAAGATGCATACTTTTAGAAGAGATAAAATCAGTGCCTCTTTGGAATTGCAGTGGGCAGATTTGGAGGAGCGTGGTGTGTGTCCACATGCCTCACGTCCCCTCCCACGGGATCCGGGGGGCTCAGCGCACCGCACAGCAGCTCCAAGGGCTGAGCACATCCAGCAGGAGAGGATGCAGGGAGCAAAAAGCCACCTCCATCAGAAGCAGAATGTGGGGAAATTGGCAGGCAGGAGAGTGACTTTAACCAACCTGTGATGTGGTTGCAACCTCAGGGCCGGGGCCGGTCGGTGTGTGTTTTGACAAGCAGGATTAGCAGCCCGCCCCACTCGCATTCCAGCTGCACACCTCCAGAATTCCCCCCGGGTTTCCGCTAGCACTCCCGGCCTCCCTCCCCAACGATGTCAGGATGGAGGCCAGCAGCGTGTGACCTCACTAGAAAAACTTCCACCGACTCCTTCAGCTAACATTAATCATTCACCCAGCCCCGTTCCAACCCCCCTGAGCTCCAGGCCAGCACACGCAGGGTGCTCCTCTTGCGTTGGAGCCGAGACGTGTTCGAGCCGCTCCTGCGGCGAGCAAGTAGGTTCCTGCAGCGGGGCTGCGGGCTCTGGGCCCGTGAGTCAGCGCCTCACCTGCCTGCGGCGGGACCACGAGCCTCAGCCCCATCCCACGGGACGTGTTTTGTGTTTTTTTTGATTATTTTTTTTTTTCCTGTTTTAACAGTATCGGGCGATAGGGAAGCCCTGCTCGGAGAACGGCACGGCCTCGGGGGTTTTATGGAGTGCTCACGGTGTTTGGGGAAATTGTCTTCTGTGTGCTAAATATCTGAGTCATCCCTGGGGGAGAGCTATGGCCACATTTAAATGTTACCATGTACTCATCCTTGGCCCCAGCTTATGAGGAAAACAGTCATTTAAATTACCAGGAAGAAGAGCGCGCCCGCTGCCGACGGTTCCTCTTCTCTCTCTGGGCTTTGGAAACTTCAGTGAAAACCAGAGGGGGGTTTTATCCATGGCGTTATTTCACCTTTGTGAGTAATTACATTTATGGTTAGGTCCTCACGGGGTCTGTGCCTGGTGGTGGGCAGCAGGAAACCGGTGTCACCCGGGCGTGCAGGGAGTGCCGCCCGCTGTGGCACCACGAAACTCGTGCAGGATTTTGCAACAAAGCAGATTTCCTGGAAACCGGCCCACATACACGTGCTGGTGTGTTTGGGCACTGTAGTAAAGGTCAGGATTTACCAGAAAAATCCCACGCCATCATGTTATCTGCGAGCCCACACGAGGGGACGCTTCATCACGCAGCAGTTCTGACTAAATCAGCATGGGGCTCAGCAGGGAGGGCTCGCGCTTCCCATAAACAGCCTGGAAGCTGTCCCGGTGCCCCCACACACGCTGCCTGCCTGGAAAATATGCAAAGGGACGCTGCGGCCTCCCCATGCTGGGCTGGCACAGCACCAGCAAGCTCAGGGCACCCCAATGGGGCAAGATCAACAACATCGGGGTTTTGGGAAGGTGGCTGGGAAGAGCCAGAACCAGGCACCACACTCCTGAGCTGCCGGGTGCTGCAGGGCATCCCCTGCCTCTCCCAGCCCCTGGAGCGGGGCGGTGGGAATGGCAGCAGCTCACCGTCCTCAGGCTGCAGCCGTGGAGCAGCAGGGAACATGGTTTGGGGCCTCAGGGGCCATGGGGTGAGCGGGACGGCTCTCCTCAAGCACCTGCACACGGGATTTTTGCAAGATTCCTGAGGTCTCGCAGCCCCCTGGGTGACAGCAAGGCTACAAAAGCAGCTTCTGCATTTGCTCTGTTGGAAAGGGCAAAGGGTTTGTGCAGACAGAACAGTCCTGGTGTCCAAAAATAACCAACAAAAACCAGACAACTCAGAAAAAAAGCCCAACTCTGTGCCAGCAGAAGGCCTGGGGCTGGACATGGCCGGGGCCAAGCAGCTCGGCCTTCAAGCTGCTGGGGCCTGCTCCGAGCTGGCCTCGCACGGAGCCACGTCATGGCTACGAGAAGCAGGAGCCTGAGGCCTGAGCTGGCTGCCCTCCGTGTGGCCGTGCAGCTGATAACCATTACCAGCTCGTTATCCCTCAGACCTCAAACACACCTTTCAGGAGGCCGGGGTGGTGAGGCCTGCGCAGGGAGGCCGTTCCCTGCCACCTCTGGGTGCCCTGACCTGCCACAAAACCTCCATGTCCCCACACGGGGAGCCCTGGGTGCCACCACGGCCTCCTCGCCTCTCTGCCCAGTGCCTCGACCAAACTCCTGCTGCCATGGGCTCGGCAGGAGTCACACTTGGTGTCTGCACAGAAGAGCCACGGCCATGGGCAGCAGCAGGGAGGCCAAAATCTCCTCCCTATCCCTTTGGGCAACCTTCCCCTCGTGTGGGAAGCGTGGGGGCAGTCACACCCAGCACGTGTTTCAGGGCGCTTCAAACAGCAACGGGCCGGGGGCAAATTTTCTGCTTTTGAACCACAAACTATTCCTGGCAAGCGCTCAGCTGCAAAAGAGCCATAAAAAAAGCCAAACTTCTCGGAGGCGGAAGATGAAGGCTCTGTGTCATCGCTGTCACAGGGTGGGTCACCCTGACAGGGTCACCCTTGGTGACTTCCCTAAGCGACACCGCAAGGCTGAAGGAAGAGCTCCGCAGTCAGCAGGCACGCATGGGCCACTGTGGGGACAGACCTGGCTGTGTGGTGACACGGCCACGGTGACCTGAGAGGTGTGCTGGGTCCCGGCCCCACTGGAGGTGCAAATCCTATTGTGGATGGCCCCGTTCTGTGTGCAGGGTCACTGCGCTTGCACTGCTGCTTTGCACCCATGGGTGTTTTATGCACACAGCTGCTCTTAGGGCAACACCACGCTGCGTGCAGTGGCTTTTTGTGTATATGGCCACTTTTTGTTAGCGGCTGGTGGTGTGTGACCAGGGGGTGAGGCACGGGCAGAGCCTGGGCAGGGGAAAGGCACCGCCTCTCCCCTCCAACCAAGGCCAGGAAAGGACTCCAGTGACAGAGAATCATGTAATAAAATAACTTCTTTGGTTTGTTTCTTTAGAAAACATCTCACATACAGTATAAAACCAGGTAGTTCAGAAATAAATTCAAAGCCAGCTGTACCACAGACTTGAGGTGTCTCTTCCACGCCCCGCGCCTCAAGCAGCCGACTGCTTTCTCAGAGCGTGATGAAAGCAAGTGAGTCCTCTGTGGGAAATACTGTTAAATAATTACATCACAAAACCAAAACCACACACTTTAACGCTAAGCCAGAGAGTAGCCTGAAACAGAGGACCAGGCTACTCCTCCAGAAACATGACCCTGCTGGCGTTTGACTTTGGATGAGCTGGGACCCCCCAGCTCGCCCCTCGCTCAGCTCTGTGCTGCATTTCAAGTTAGTTTTTGGAAAGAGTAATAAATTAACGAAGCCACAGTAAAACAACAACAACAAAAAGGGAGAAATTAAAAAAAACAAAAAAAACAACACACCCTCAGAGTTCAGTCTATGTTCTCATTAGAGAGGAAGCGCTTCCGCACCTCCCTCTCTATCGCATGCAGCTTGGTGGCCCGCAGTGCCTCGAGCAGCTCCTTGGTGACCGCGGGGTTCCCCTCCTTGAGGTGGGTGAGGAAGGCCCTGAATTTCTCCTGGATGAGCGCCTTTTTCTCCGACACCTCCTTCTTGAGCGAGCCGTCCAGGATGTGCTGCAGGCGCTTCAGCTTCTTCGGGGAAATGTTCTGGTACGCTACGAAGTCGATCATGGCTTGCTCACAGTCCTCGTCTCCTGGAGCTGGGGGGTGAAAAACACCTGGAGGTTAGGGGGAAGGTGGCTGTGGGGTACCAGGAGAGCTGGCTGCAGAGTCCCAGCATGGCTGGGGTGGGAAGGGACCTCTGGGTGCTTCTAGCAAACTGCCCAAATGGAGCCACCTGGAGCAGGGCACCCAGCACCACGTCCAGGTTGAAGATCTCCAAGGAGGGAGACTCCACAACCTCTCTGGGCAGCCTGTGCCGGGGCTCTGTCACCAGGTCGAAGCAAGGGACAAGCCGGCAGTGCCACCAAGCCTCTCCACGGGTGGCTGTCCTGACCTGGGCACAGCTCTGCAGCCCAGAGCCTGGCCAAGGGACCTGCTCCCGGCCCCCTTCCCAACCCCAGGAGGCTGCTCCAGAAAATGCAGACACCCAGAGCCACTGCACAGGGAGAAGAAGACCCAATTCTGCGCCAGTGCAAACTGGGCACGGCGTCACCGGTTGCATTTCATTATTGCAGCAACTGCCTTGCAGCAGACACACGCAAGTGCTCGCACGCCTTCCCCGCCGGGTGAACTCACCCAGGGAACGGGACCTGGAGGCACCACCCTGCTCCCATTGCTCAGGGCTCTCCTCGCCCTATAAATAGCTCCAAGCCTGCTCCAGACGTGGGTGCCGTTGCTCAAGGCAAGGCAGTGCACATGCTGCTCAAGCAGCTCTCAGCTGGCTGCCTCCCTCCCTCCATCCCTCTCTCGGTGCTTGCGCCGACAGTGATTTCCCCCCCGCTTGCTCCAGCGCAAGCCCAGCTGCTTGCGAGGGCGGCCAGGCGAGAGCTGTGCCAGCTGCGGGGGTGAGAGAGCTGGAAGACGGCTCTCCCACGCCGCCTTGGCACAGCAGGAGCAGCTCCTGTATCATGGGAAAGGCTCAGCGGGCACCTGCCTCAACCTCATCTCCCTGTACATCAGCTGGGTGTTTGGGATGGGTGGGTGGGAATGGCATCCTGCCACCCCCCACTCACATAGTTCCAGACCCCCGAGATAGCTTGCATGTGAAAAGTCACTTAGACGAGGGTGCTCGCTCCCTGTACCCATGGGGTGTGTGTCACTCTCTACCCCTCCTCTGCTATAACTGAAGGCTCCTGCCCCATCAGCAGCCTCCTCTGAGGCTCAGCACCACATCGTGGTATCACCGTGACCACACGTGCCTCTCCTCTTTCATGCAACAGGCCAAAATCCAAGCCACGCTGCGGCTCCGCGGAGCCTTGTACTCTTGCTCCATCCGACACGCACGTGACAAGGGTCAGGCTGCAGTAACAGCTTCCTGGAAACAGCCCGAAAACCTGGCAGGAGGGCAGGGAGGTGACAGCAGCTCCACCGGCGCACCCTGTGTCCCGTGCCTGCTAACACAGCTGCCAGCAGCCGCCAGCCAGGCAAATGACCGCCTGCCGCTGCCCACGCGCTGCCATCCCCGGGTAGCGAAGCCACTGTCACAGCCCAGAGGGTTTCGCTGCCAACCCTTTGTTCCCGGGGAAGAGGAGCCCGCACGTGCGCCAGGCTGAGCCGTGGCTGTTGCCTAAGCCCCACGCTCCGTCCTCGCCTGAACCTGACCCGCGGCTCACCCCGGCCAGGAGGGAGGACAGGCTGTTTTTGGCGCCCTGTACTTGAATCACAGATCACTCTGTACTTTTACAGAAGGTACTTGGCCTCACTTTGCATCCACGTGGTAAAAGAAGCCAGGAATTTCGCTCCCACCCTGTTCCTGGCATCTCCCCATCCACCCGCGTGGAACCGCTGCCAGCTCGGCCGGACCCTGGTGCTCACCTGGCCCCTGGGTGCTGTTGCTCCTCCCGTGCGCCCTGCAGGAGGTGCAGAGGGTGTCGTGGTACTCGTTTCCCTGCACGTTGATCACCTTCCCCTGCTGAGCGCAGTCCTGGTGCGGCTGGCACGGCTCGGTGCTGGAGCTGGAGGAGAAGAAGCCGCGGGGGCACCTGCGGCACTGGGTGTCCTCGAAGGGGGTACCTGCGGGGGGACACGGGGACATCAGGAGGTGCCCCCAGACCATGCATTGGGGCACTGAGGTGGAGCAAGACAGAAGCACCTAAAGGTGTTCAGCCAGCTGCGGGGCAAAGAGCAACCAATGCTCGTCCCAACCATCCCCAGGCAGTGATGCCAAAGGGTTCGGCAGGTGCCGGGAGGAGACGATGTCCCATCCGCTGCTGGAAGGGGCCACCGGCCTCGTGGGCCACCGCCGCCAGCTGGGGCGGCCGGGAGCTGGCTGCCAAAGCAGCTCTTTGATTCACTGCAGGCTGGGAGGCCGCTGGCCAAGTGAAAGTAAAAGTTGCTGAGAGCTCAGAGGCTCTGCTTGGTTTTGCAGCGCTGCAGTTTCCCAGGAAGGGCTCGGGGCCAGAGCCAGCGCTGCATCCCAGGGGCAGCGCCGTGCTCGTGGGATTGCGCCCAGGCTGCCCTCGTGCTGCTGGAGGGAACGGCCTGAATGGGGGCAACATCAGTCCCCATTTGCACCTCCAACCACACAGCTAGTTAAGAGCAAGGCTCCTACCATATCCTAACCACTGCTCTGGCTGGGAGAGATGTCCCAGGCAGCTGAGGTGACCCCAGCACGATTTGCAAATGGGAAATCCAAGAGAAGCGATGTCCCCAGAGGAACCCTGCCTGGACCACGGAACTCATCCAGCCCGAAGGCCAGCAAAGTCTGCCCACAGTTCTGGAGCCACCGCTCTGAAATTACAGGGTCCACCCTGATGTCCCCCTGCCCTGGTGTCCCCGGGCAGACAGGAGCACTCACGGCCCCAGCACACGGCCTCCCCACACTGGATGCTTCCTGCAGAGCCATAATTCCCCCCAGGGGAGGCCATTTGCAAACAAATTAATAGTAAATTAGTTACAAATATTGCTTCTCCTCGAATGTCCCAGCCTGCTCACACGAGTCCTCAGACCCACAACCAGCCCTCCAGCCTAATCTGATGCATGAGGCAAAGGATTTTCCAGCGTTGTTTGGAGACCTAGGTCATCTCTGCTGAGTCACCACATTTTGTAACGCTGACGTCCTACAGAGAAAACTGAACCACAGAACTCAGCCTTAATCACCATCAGAAGACAAGAGGTATTCCTTATCTAGCAGCCGAGCCCGCGGCTCTCCTGTGTCACACATGGAAGGACTCCAAAAGCCTCCATGCTTCAAAGCATGAAGTAAGGCTCCTGCTTTTGCTGATCTTATTATGCTCGTTTGTGGTTTCCAGAGACCAGACACTGGTGACTCAGGGGAGAGTGAGAGGAAAACATATGCCTGCCACGTAAATTGTATTTTTAGAAGGCGTATACACAAGCAGATGAAGGCAACCAAGGGACCAGACAAACAATGGAAAAATAACTCCCCTAAAACACCATGACTCACACCTTGTCAGGGGCTAGAATTGGAGATTTGCAAATCTCCCCTAGAAAGGATTGCAGCAAGACTCATGTAAGTGTCCTGGAACCTTTCCCATTGATCTATTTTGTGTTTTAAATGGAGCCCATCCAAATTACTTAATTAAAACCACAAAGCCCAGCTCCAGAACTACATATGTCCACCAGCCCTGCCATTATATCATAAACAGCCCTTTTTAGTCAAGGTAATTAGCATTTCCAACTCCTCAGCTGCCCGCCAGCACGAGCCAAACGATGACAAACCAGCAGCAGCCACCAAAAGCTTTCCACCTGCTCGGAGCCCATGTGCCCGGGCAAGCTGCTGCAAAAGGAACCGTGAATCACTTCCCAGAGCTGTCTGGGTCTGCCTGCGGCAGCAGGTGAAGCCAGCAGCTTGGGATCACCACGTCCTTCCTAAATATGCTGCTGGGGTGTGCAGAGGCAGCAAGGGAAAGCAGAGGAAAGCCAAGCAAATCTCTCCCCAGAGCTGGCCACGAGCGGTTTTCCTGCACCTGCGAGGACAGCGCTGCGCTGCTAAGCAAAAAGGGAGTGAGACAGACTGCGGGGAATCGCTGGCTGCTGTTTTTCTCCTTGTTTTTTACCTCCAGCAGTGATCTGGGCATGCAATAGGAGCCCTGCAAGCACGCAGACGGCTGCAGTCATGCGAGGATACATACCTGGCTTCACGACGCCGGAGCCCGGAGGGCACTCGGAGTGCCTGATGCAGAACTCCATCTCCGAATAGTAGCCCTCCTGGCACTGGCACACTCTGTTGTGGGTGGCATTGCACTGCTGCACCTCCACCTGCTTCTCCTCGCAGATGACGTTGCAGTAGCGGCACTTTTCCAGGTAGTTCCAGTACTGAGTGTAGTGCAGCTCCGGGCAGGGCTCGCACTCCGTCTGCCTGTCCCTGGTGCAGTGCCGTGCCACGAAGGTGCCCGGCGGGCACTGCTGGCAGGTGAGCTTCTCGTTCGTCTCGGCGTCCCTCCACTGGTAGGTGGGTTGCAAGCCGGAGCTCAGCTCAGCCAGGAGGAGGAGGAGAGGGGCAAACACCCACTGCAACACAGCGAGGAGCTCTTGGCCTCTGCCCTATCCTCTGGCCAGAAGGCAGAAGCCACAAAGGCGCCCGCTGCGCCCCCAGCGCTGTGCGCACCCCCGCAGCAGGGGCTCGCTCTCCCACCTGCTTCTCTCCCTCCCCAGCCCCCAAGGAAAGCAGCAGCGGGACCCGGAGCCCCCCCCACCATGCAGCCAGGGGGCTGAGCATCCTCCCCAGACACCTCCCAGCCCTCACCAGCCCCTTCGCTGCCTCCCAGTACCACCAGTACCCGCAGCCCTCTCTCCTCCTCCTCCTCTCCAGGAGGATCCCAGCTGCACGGGGCAAGGTCCAGGCTTTCCTCGGCAAGTCGGGAAGCAGCAGGGAGCTCCCCAAACCCCCGCGTGCCCGGAGCCTTCCCCCAAACCCAGCTTTGAGGGAGGAGGGGGGGGACCCGGAGCCCCGCTCTGCCCCCCCGTCCCTTCCCAAATTCCCAAATCCCCCCCGGGGGCACCTTACCCGGAGCGGCCGCATCAGCCTCGGCGGGTGGGGGGCCAGCATAGCACCGGGGGCTTCCGAGCACCGCGACGAGAAACGGGACCGTCAGAAAACGGAGGGGGGGGGACAAATCTCCAGCGGTGGGCACGGGGGACAAGCGGCTGCCCGGGGGCTCCTCGGCTCTGCGGCACCGGCCCCGCCGCCCGCCTTTAAAGAGAGAAGAGGCTCGGCTGCGGGCTGCGGGCTGCCGGGACGCCCCCCCACCCCCTCCCCTCCCCGGTCCCCCTCCTCCCGGTCCTCCCCCGGCTGCGGGGGGTAGGGGGGGGGGGACCCGGCACCGCCCCGGTCCCATCTCCACCGCCCCCGGTGCCGGTGCCGGCCCCATCCTTCCCGCCCCGCCCGGCTCCGCTCCGGCTGGCGGGCAGCCCCTTATCGCCCCCCCAACGGGGAAGACCCCTCTTGCTCAACGGGAACGGCTGCACGGCCCCCCCCCTCCCCGCCCTGCTGGGATCCCGGTACCGGCACCGGCACCTGCCTGCCCCCGGTCCCGGTCCCGGGGTCCCGGTCCCGGTCCCGGTCCGTCCGACGGCTCTGCGGATCCCAGCAGCGTCCCCCCCCCCTTCCAGGAGCCCCCAGTCCTATTTACCTGCCCGAGCGAGGAAGCAGGTGGGGTTTGCTCAGCTGCAAAGCTCTGGGCGATAAGCGCAAGGCTTTGTTCTGGGTTTGCCGGGGGAACGGCAGGGAATTCCCCCGGGGACGCTCGGTTCCCGAGATGTAAATGCGGGGATGAATTCCCCCCCCACCCCTCCACCCCTTCCAGCGTCGCTGTTGCCGTCCCCATCGGGCTCCGGGTCCCCTCTGGGCTCTGGGTCCCCTCTGGGCTCTGGGTCCCCACCGGGCTCTGGGTCCCCTCCGGTCTCCGGGACCCCACCGGGCTCCGGGACCCCACCGGGCTCTGGGTCCCCTCCGGTCTCCGGGTCCCCACCGGTCTCCGGGTCCCCTCCGGGCTCTGGGTCCCCTCCGGGCTCTGGGTCCCCACCGGGCTCCGGGTCCCCACCGGGCTCTGGGTCCCCTCTGGGCTCTGGGTCCCCTCCGGTCTCCGGGACCCCACCGGGCTCCGGGTCCCCACCGGGCTCTGGGTCCCCTCTGGGCTCTGGGTCCCCTCCGGTCTCCGGGACCCCACCGGGCTCTGGGTCCCCTCCAGGCTCTGGGTCCCCACCGGGCTCCGGGTCCCCACCGGTCTCCGGGTCCCCTCCGGGCTGAGCCCGCTGCCAGCCCCTCTCCGAGCCCCCACTTGCCTGCAGCGGGCTCACGGCTCGGCCTTTCCCCTCTCGGAGCTCTGCGGATGCCAATCCAGCTCCCGCTGCGATGCCAAAAGCCGAAATCTTGCAGGATTGCAGCCCCTAGCAGGGGAGCAGGTCAGCATCCCGGTGTCTCAGGGGTGGCACATCGCCCTCAATTCCCCGACCCCAAGGATTTGGTGGCGGCTGAGCGCAGCCTTAGCGGTGCACAGCTTAGCAGAGCTACACTGGAGTTGCTTTTGGTGCTGCTGCTGCTGGAAAACATCAGAAGCGCTGGACTTTGTCCTCCTGCCCTGCCTGGGAGGCGAGAGAGCAGCACCACAAAGTGCTCCGGGTGCTGACGCTGCTTGAATCCCCTCAAACTGACAAGCACAGGGGGAAGCAAAGCGTGGCCTTCGCCTTCTCGGTGCTGTGCACCAAGGGTGCCCCTCGTTGTGCCCCCACAAAGCGCAGCGAGCTCCGTCCTGGAAGCCTGCCTTCCCCTTTCCCCTCAGACACCTTCTCTCCTACCGGGAAAGGCTGCGAAGAGGAAGGGCAAAGCCGCCAGTGATGGCAGACGGCTACTTCAGAAAAAGGTGAGCTTTTTCCCTCCTTTTTAAACTTTCCACCCAATTCAAACACACAAAGCACATCCTAAGGTACAGAGAAGTCTGACATTTCCATGTTATGCCCCTTGTAGTGGCACAATTGCCCCCTATCCTCCTCCCCTGCCCACCCCTCAGGACCCCAGCTCTCAATTGGGACCCCCGTGGCCTCCCTGTGGATGCTGTGGGACCCCCCCCAGGACCCTCATCACGCAGCCCCCCCGTCCTTCAGGCCACTGTGGGCTCAGCAGCTTTAACAATCCCTGGGTGTCTCCAAGAGGGGCCCAGCACCACCCCTACCACCTCTGTGACAGTGACAGGGAGGGCAGCGAGCCACCAGCCGCCTCGCTCAGAAGCGTGCACGTCGTGTCCTAAAACACCGAGCAGGCTGCGAGCACGGTTGCTTAACGCTCAACCATCTCCATGGGGAGACAACGAAGGGGCTAAAACATCCTCCCGGCAGCCGTTTTCTGTGGAATTCCTGTTTACAGACTCGCTGCTCCCAGGTCAGGGCTGATGTCTGTGGAGGGGCCTGGAGCCTCCTCTGCAGCGCTCGGTACCACGCCTGCCCCACGCTGGGGCTCTGAACCCATTTCCCACCATTGTCTCAGCTGCTGTGAGGAATTCCACTCAGGAATAGGGCTTGTTTACAGAAGCAGCCCAACGCTCTCAAAATAGGCTTCTCCAACATCTGTCACAGTCTGTATTTTTCTCAAGCACCTCCCGTTTCCATAGATATCCTCTGCGGTGTCACACAGCCAGCGCCACTCAGCATTTCTGAGCATCAAAGCCCAGATATTCCACAGAATCGCAGAAAAAAAAATAAAAAATAGCTCGGAAAGTTTTGTACTCCCCCTTGTGCCAGGAGGGCCAACGCCACCACCAAGGGTTACAGCTTTAGAGTCGCGTTACCCAAATGACGCCTCCAGGTCTGAAATGTGATCCTACAGGGGAGCATCTGCTACTTCTGCAAGTGCTGGGCTCCTTCTGCCCCTGCCTGGACTCGTTTACACACAGACACGTCCAGAAGGTGCACTAAGGACTCGCTGTGCTGCATCTAACCCAGGTGTACGTGGTTTGAGGGGAGCTAATCTAACTAATATCATATATGCCCCATAACGCCCTCTTCCCCCACCAGTAGCCCAAAGGAAGGAGGCAGAATTTGACCCTCAGAGGCTCTCCAAGCAGGTGTTTGGCAAGAGCCAAAACTGCATCACGTACGCTGCCCCCAAAAAGCAAATGTGAAGTTGCTGAAGCACACCGGGGCGTTACGGGGTCACGGTGTGGAAGCTGGAGGATGTTGGGGTTTTGCTCCCCAGGAGCCAGCAGCCCAATGTGTTTTCAACTCATTACAGAGATTTCACCACATTTGAGCATTCACCTTCTGTAACCCCAGAACTTGATGCTTTGGGATAGAGGCAAGAGCTGTCCCCGACCTAGCTCTCAGCTCCTGCACTCCTCCTGGGTGCTGAAGCCGCTGGGGTTTTGCTCCTAATGCAGCAAAAGATCGAAACCTACAAGGGCTAACCCACAATCTACGAAACAAACCAAAACAAACCAGTTTAGGATTACCTGGGAAGAGAAGCAAACGCCAACATTCAGAAGGAATCTAAAGCTCCTTCCAGCAGGATCAGCTTCTCCCCAGCCCGGCTGCAGAAAAAGCGTGGACCAAGCTTCCAGCCTAAATCCAGCGAGAGTCGGAGGGTTCAACATTTGGGGCAGGAAGCGCCGTTCGGTGAGAGCACCACGTGCCGTGGGCTGTGCTCGTGTGCAGTCTGCCCAGAACAGTGATGTGCCTGTCAGGGAACGTGCTACAGCTGGGTTTAATTTTACTGCGGGTTTAACTCAGGCACGTGTAGTGCCCCAAAGGAATCCCAGCGATTTCTAACGCCCTGTGAAATAGTCTCCGAGCTACGGGCTATGGGGGCTCTGCTTCATTAGTGCGTAGCATCTCAGCAGTTCCGTGTGTCAATTAATTTCAGATTTCACTAGTTTGGATCAAGCACGGGGTCCCACAGTACGGGTTAGCCAGCAGGAGAAGCGAGACCTCCATCCGAGCACAGCCTGGTGTTTCAAAGCGCAGCAGCATTTCCCTCGCGTTTCCTTTTTCTGGTGGCCAGAAAGCTGAGCTCAATTTTCCTGCCATGGATTTCGTGTGGTTCCTTGGCTTGCCATCTGCCCTCTTGCTGACACATCTGGACTTTTCCAAGAAGCTGCAACAGAGAGCGGATCACTTGGGCTTTTGCAAACTTATGAGCTGGTTGACATGATGAAGAGTCACACCGCGGCACTCGTAGAGGGATTACTCAAAATAGTTTGAATGGCTTTGGTTCTTGCGCTGCCTCCCTCGGCATTCTGCCCGGATTAGAAAAAGGCCACGTTAACACCCTGTGCCACGCTGCTGGTGACGAAGCGGAGCGAGAAGCTGCTCACAGCTGTTACTGGGATGTGAGTGAGTCACTGGAGGTGGCAGGTCTGGGGTGGCACGCTACGGGAGTCCCCGTGTGCCGTGTGCTGGATGCAGCCTGCAAGCAGAAAATAATCTGCTTCTCGCCGTACCACCAGGCAGCACCACCGTTTCTTTCTGTTTGGAATTTAATAATGGCAAAAATGTGCCAGATGGATTTTCTTAGAGAGGGGAATACCACGGCCAAGGGGCAGAAATGGCTTCTCCAGGCAATCTCTTCCTGCCAGGGGGACAAGAGTTTGGTGACACAAGGACCTGCAGTTGCTCGTCCTCTGTCCCTTCTTTTGCTTGACCAAGGAACCTCTGAGAAGGGCTCTGTGGGATCGCTGCCAGAGCAGGGGAAAGCTCAGCTCTGCTCAGCCCTGCCTTCCTGACCCGAGGAGATATTTTATAAAATACAGCATCATACTCTCATGGGTTTGACTTCATCCGTGTGTTGTTTCACACGTTAGAGAGCTGCAGGACGTGCAGAAGCTTTGGTTTTTGTAACTGCTCTTGCAAAATTGGGCTTCTTGCTAATATTCAGAGAAAAGCCTGGAAAGCAAGGAAATGCCTCACTCTCTATAAGTAGCCACTTACCAAAGCAAGAAGACAGTTAATCTCTTTCCTAATGAGCTGGTTGTTTTGTTTCTGAATTCTTTCAGCTTGATTTAGGAAAAAGTGTGTGTGAGGCGGGGGGTTTCAGTGACACACCATAAAACTGAGGACAGCCATATAGTCATAGCACTGCAAAGCAGGGGCAATAAAGAGATAAATATCTACTTCCTTCATGATGTGTAACTCTTATGTCACTTGCTTCCCAAAACCCGAAAGGAGTGCCCAGCATAGGTTTTCCTTTCCACGAAGAGTCAGTGGTTTGCATCAGTTCCTCTCACCATATATTAATGTGGATATTTTAGTAACCAGTCCTGTTTTCACTTTCTGGACATTATCAAATAAGGTACTAGCTCCTGTCTCTTCTCGTAAATTCAACTTGTTTCAAGATGACAAGGGACTGCTCCCTGACCCTTGCAGCACATCCTGACAGCTGGTTCCTGGAGACCCTGCTCTCCAAGGGGCCAGGGGAAGCAGGGATCTTGGGGGAGGAAGCGGCACTAAGCACGTGTAGGAGGACCACGCTGGGGTGATGGAAGATTCAAACTGACAGAACTGTTAAGTTCTGCTGTTAAAACATTAAATAGCGAGCAGATAAACTGCAGATGAGGACAAGCTCATGAGGGAGGGCTGCTCTCACATCATTGTTACACGCGTTACATTCCTCTGTCCTGCCTGCAAGAAGGCAGCAGCACAAAACCAGATTTGAGAAGCTGGTGCAATGCAATTCCCACGACACAAGAAAGCAGCTGAGTTTCATTGCTCTGGTCACTACTGAACACTTGATGCCTCTCCTGTGCTGTGGTTTCCCTCCAGTGGCACAAGCAGTAAGTTGCAGTTCTCCCAGAGGAGGTTTTTGGAGAGTAGACCAAAGCACTGAGCTATCTTATTTAATAATTTCGTACTGGTTGCAGCTCCCAGCCTTCACTCACCTCCTAGTCCACTGCTCACCCAGGCCTAGAGCACATACTGAGACAGGAATCCAAAAAGAAGTTGCGGGGACCTGCTCAGAAGCAGCTAAGGGGGTTGCAAAACTGCTGAGAGCAAAACATTAGCATTGACCCAGTCTGCTTTTCCTGAGTCTTTTGTTTTGTTTAAAAAAAAACCAAAACACACACACACTCCTGTAATACAATAGTTATTGCTATACTTGTTTAAAAACTGAGTCCTTTTAAAGGACAAGAGGTTAGCATTACTGCCTTCTTGACACCATATCTCCAAATCTTTTTCGGTTCATTTTTACCAAATTATATATAAACACAGAAATCCTGCAGGTTGATATTTGCTGTAATTTTTCCCACTTACACTTGGAATCTTTGAATGTTTTTGTTAAAATATGGCTCGCCTTTCAGTTTTAAGATATCAACTATTTATATTAATTTTCCAAAATTCCATTGGTATGAAGTCTGCCTACAGGCTGAGGAAAACTTACTTACAGGGGCACTGAGACTCTGCTGCCATTGTTCTTCTATGTGGTAAAACAAATTTAAAAAAAAAACAACCAAGACATGAAAATGGTTTTATTTATAGTTTAATTAAAAGAAGCTACTGATACATTTTTTAAAAAAAGTTACCTACTTATTCCCACTACTCACAGAGAGTGGAAGTATCAAGGATTTTTTTTCTCATCCAACTTAATTTATTTTGAAGATTAAAACCAGGTAGTTCATTTTTCTTCTTGGAAGGTAAAGGTCAAATAACACAGGCCTGACACGAGTATCAGTACTAAGCATAAAACAAAACCTCCGTAGAAGCATATTTCCAAAAATTCCAGCACTATGGAAGGAAGTCGGGCTTTGGGTGCACTGCGGGCACAGCGGAGCATCTCTGTTGACTATCCAACCACTGGAATTTGTTTTAAAACAAAATCTTCCTTTCTGTATTTTCTGCTATTGGGAGACAGCAGCTGCTGATGAACACCAACAGAATGTGAATCACTTCTAGGAACGCCACTGTGGTAAGTCTGGGTAGTCTGGCCTCTGGCCTGGTAATGTAGCCAGCTCAATTCCGCTGTAGTACTCTTGTAGGTTTTTTCCAGGAATTGGTATTACCTGAAGGGGCCAACTGATGACAGCCTCCTCCAAGACATAAAATTTGGTCTAAGAGAAGACACGATAGAATTTACAGGCTAAAATACATTATTTACCATCTTAGTTCCAGCAGAGGACAATACTGCTTTGTCTTCTGCCAGTGGTAAGAGAGATGGAGAACTTTCAGACTTGATCAGACTGTAGGAAAATATTACACATCTTGGTGCGCAGCCTGTAATCCAGACTTCGGGATCAAACATATTTAAAAGAACCTTCATCCAGCTTGCTTTCGGCTTCAGACTCAGAGTCCGGTCATTTATTCCTGCTGAGAAGTACTTGCCCTTTCTGTTGGTGAGATTATAACCAGAAGAAAGCTTGGGTTAATCGCTTCTTCTTCACATCACTCAGGCATTGCGGGCACCTCTTCATCTACGAAAGTAAATGAACAAAATGCCTAGATTATATATTAACTTTCTGTCAAGTTTGCAATTGCCCAATATGAGATACGAGCCATGATAGTCATTTGATAGTCCTTAAGATACCGTATCTGCTATTTTTAGATGCAGTATTACCACTCAGTCACTTATTTGATTGCTAGTAGTAAATGGAGGAAAACAAAAAAGCTTCTCAGTGAAACAGCAACAAATTTTAGAGCAGTTGTCCCAGATTAATTACAGCTGCAACATACCTGGAAAACTAAGATACAGGAATAAGGAAACACAGAACCTGCAAGAGCTGTTGTGAAGTACTTGTTACCAGTAAACCCTGTAAGATCGTGCACGAGTTCCTTGAACTCCTGCTTCCTCTGGCACGGATGAGAAGGAAGTGGGCATACTAGGATATCAGTGACACATGGGTTCAAGATTTTTGCAGACGTAAGAAATACATTTATTTCTTCATCCCACCACACATCTTTTTCATTGAGCAGCAAGAGACTGGGTATGTGGCCAACCATTTCTTCACCCAGGTTTCAGTTTCCTTCTATACTAATCTTAAAATTGAAAATGCCTGGCCTTTAGCCATTTGGCCCATGAATAAACAACGTGTTTAAACATCGAAACACAGCAGTAGGCCTCTGCACAGAAATCTAAAACCAAATGAAGCGTGAACTAGCACACTCCACGCGATGCTTTCCCTAACACGTTGACAATTACCTACCTCGCACCAGCACTAACCTCTAATGCCTCTCCAGCTGCAGTGACTTCTGTCTGCTCCTCCAAAAGTTTTGGATATATTCCAGAACTTATTCACTGCACTAAGCTGTTTCAATACCATAAATTGGAAAAACAATTTGCAAAACCCAAGTCACTGCATTTTGAATGACAGTCTGTTAGTCACTTCCTCGCTAAGGCACTGAAGTGAATTTGAACTGAAGAAATATAGTGAGTAACTTGTTTGTAAATCCAGCCCAGTCAGTGTTGACAAACCTCTGAACCATCGGATGAGAGCTCAGACTACAGACACAACCTGTCACAGAACCCCGCCACTGCCATGAATGAAGTCAATTGTCTGTACAATGAACCAGTGTGTGGAAAGAAAGGAGGATGGAAGTATCATGAGAAGGTTTCTGTGTGTTTGGTTTCAGGTAAACATGGACCAATCTTCCTTTTTGCAACCCTGTGTTCTCCACTGAGCCATCTTTCCCTTTCTTCTACACAACTGGTAGAGGATACACTTTTGCCTGATTTCCAGGAGAAATGTTTATCTGCATTGGTCCTAAGGTAATACCCAAGGATATTTGGCTTTTCAGTAACCAAACTGCACTTGAGTCGTATCAGAAACAACCCACTGTATACTGGTATATACCACTAAATTATCACCCGAATGATATTTCATGAGTAAGATGAGAAAAAGTGACAAGACCATATAGTTTAATGATTTATACAACAAAGACAATAGAATGTCACTCATGCTGAGCCGTGAGCGGTGCTTGAACTTTAGAACAAAAGGCTTCAGCTGGTGAAAAGATGCTTCTTACACACCCCTCCACAGAACAGGTTGTTGTTCAGAGCAAGAAAAACCTTATCAGAAATGCAGATTTTGATTTATGTGGTCTACAGAGGAGGCAGGTGGATCCAACTATTGTTGTATTTAGAGAGACAAAAGTTCCCAAGGTGCACTCACGAAGGATGGGATATCCACGGTGAGTTTTCTTGAGAACTGGAAGAACACTGTGTCTGTCCCTTTTAAACAAGCGGAGCATTAAATTGAACAAGAAGAGGTTCAAAATGACAGTGAAGAAAGGTTCTTCACATAACATCTCACTAAGCTGTGGAAGTGTCTGCCATAGGATATGGATGACAGATGTTCATTTGTCTGAAAAAGTTATTGGACACAGCAATGGAAATCCATCAGAAGCTTCTTAGTATACAGAAGCTACCTTCGGTTCAGGGAGTTCTTGTGCTGCAAATAGTTTCAGGGCTGAGAGATTAATTGCAAGAATCATCAGCCACGCCATGGTTCTTATGTCCTCTCCTAGCCATCCTTTTTTTGGCTGCCATCACAGACAGGATGGTGGGCTGGATGTACCTTTACTCTGACTCAGTATGTCTGTTGTTATACCCTTATGATTTGCTCTAAACTGTCTCTTCCTTCTCATCTTTACAAATCCCAAGACTCTGTCACTCCAAAGGGTGGTGGTAAGCTACCACAAGGCAAAACTCTGATTCATCTTGCTAAGCAAGACACATATTCTTGTCCCGCCACTATCTGGTACAAATGTGGGAAGAAGTTTCACATTAAATAGTGAGACTGTTCAGGTAAATTGCAAATGTGGTAGTTGTAATGAATGACCCACGGGGAATGACTCACTTCCCCAAACAGTTGTGTACTGAGTACCTGAAATACCGTCTAATCTAACAGGTCAGTTTTAATCCCCAGCTTAAGAGGTAATCATAAAAGGGGCAATTAAAAAAAACGAGGCTGAGCAAGTCCTGTGATGCGCATTACTTTGGGGATTAAGGAGAAAGCCAAACCTCAGAATTACCAACTTTCTCAAGACAAAAACCATAGTACAGCAGTACAATTGCTTAATATAAAATAGCTCTAGTTCTGTGATTTCTTAAGCTGACAAAATCACAATTACAAGTTACATCTTACTGGCAAAAGGAGTGAGTTCTTCCCCAGGTATTTACAAGATAGATTTTTATGGGCTGAGACAGCACAGCAACCTCTCTTCTTATTTCTAAGAATGTCTAAGAATGGGATTATAAACGCTTACCTAACCTACAAACTCCCCAGGGATCTCATTCTGCTCCTCTGCCAGCTTGAGTCTTGAGCAGCAAAGATTAAAAACGCATGCTAGTAAAATCCTTGGCACGATTCTTGCTACAATTGGAATCTTTTCTGAAGGACAGTATGTTGTTCATGAAGCAGCAGCTGCTGATAGTCTTTCTCAGAAAACTGCCATTAGAACATCAATATACAGTTAGCAAAACCTAGAGAAAGAAAGAGGGGCCTATACTAGAAGTACTGCGAGCTGTAGAAGTGCCATTAATTGTGAGAATGGCAGACTGAATTTAGGAATTAAAGTAAACTCATTTCAAAGATTAAATGCCCTCAGGATGCAGAACTGAGACAACAAACAAAGACCTTCTATTCGAATCAAGAAAGAATATGTGAATGCTTCTGAGATCCAAGACAGCGTGGCAGCCCTATTATATTTGGCAGAAAAGGAACAATTAAACTAAAGGATAACACAGGAGATACTTAAGCACGAATTTGCATCATCTCATGGTAGCGTCTTATAGGAGGTTTTTAGATTGCAAAAATTTATGAAACTAAGCAATATAATACAATAATGTCAAAAAAAAAAAAAAAAGTTGACTCCCCAGCCTGTTGCCTGCATAACTCTGGAGGGGAAAACATTTGAAGGTAGCTCAGGAGGAGCTGCATCTGTGTCAAAACCACAGCGTAAGGACAAGGTTTGCCTCCACTCACACTGCAGAACATGGAAAAGGAAGATGACAGAGGAAATGCTCAAGTGCTAAGACTTCCATCAGGATTTGTGTGTCCTCTCTGTAAACAGAGGAATTCCGTTTCCACAGCTGTCCACACAGTTCTCTTGAAAAGCACAAGATTCCCTAGCAGCTTCGGGAAGAAAGTGAAACTAATAAACAAGATAACCTTTAAGAACTGCTCCCAACATGTTTTGCAGCGAGTGAAGGCACAGAATGGACATTTAAAAGGCACGTCATCCTCAGATTTGCAGGCAGAGCACTGGTATCTTCCTAGAGCACAGAGAAGAGAAAGAGAGAGAGAGAAAGAGAGGGGAGAAATGACTAAATTTCAGTTAGCACCTGTGAAATTCTCATGCTCATGTGCTTCCAGTGTTGTCCAGAAGCCAATGACCATGAGTTTTATGAAGAGGTTCCTGTATGTTAATAATGCAATACATGGCCCTATTGCATTATTTCTTTCATATGACCTCATTCAATCTCTCAGTGCTTCAGAACCCCATTTAGAAACTGAGGTTACATCCTTGCTTTACAAGGAAGTTGTTGAGAAAAATCTCTAAGTTCTCGGGAAACTATTACATCATTGTGATAAAGACAGCAAAGTACTTTGATATAGGAGATGCAAGTAGCAGAAAGTACAAATTCTTCTTAGTAAACCATACAAAACATTATTGCACCTGTGCAAATATAGGCATGAAACAATCCTCATTTAACGGAACATCAGCAGAATTCTCAGTCCTATAACTTAACCTAATTCCTGAGAATTAGGGAGCTGCATCTAGGTAATCTCATCTATACTTACCACACTCTGGTTCCATCTCTAGGGGAAAGAGAGGTACAACTTCAGAGCACGTGGGTGCTCTCACATTACTGGTTTCTTTTGAATCTTCTTCAGTCTTTGGCAATTCAAGTTTATCTTCCTGGTTAAAGCAGAAGGAGGCAATCTCTCTCTGAGTTTTCTCTGGCACCTCACTCTTCGGAACAGCTGCATCTGATCATAAAACAATGGCATACAACACAGCGTAACGCAGAACACAACATACAGGCTCTACAAAACACAATTAGCAGTAAGTTCAGTAAGTTCTCATTGTAGAAAAACAAAACTTTTTTTTCTTGGCAACAAAAGTTTCTGGTATTACACAACATTACTGAAAAAGTCTCTTTACGCTGAAATAGTTCTGTGGTAAATTATTCCTAGACACAGTAGATCTTGATCCACTCTTCCCAATTTAGGTGCAGAAGTTTTACCTTCTGTCATTAGCAATTTCACAGCTTAAAGAAGATGGCACAATAATTGATTTTCTTCTTGTTTCCTCGTGCTCCCCCATCTCTTGTTGCCTTCTATCTTATACTTTTATTTTTAAACGTAATTCGGACATGGCCAATTGCTTTGATCTTCCTTTAGATACCTACTGTGAGAAGGCCCTAGCCCATGGCTAAGGTTTTTGGACTCTACCCATCAAAGTAACTAAATAAGAATCTAAACTTCAGAGAAATGTTCATGCCCTACCTTGTACATGGCTGTTTTCTGCCTTGGTGCACCACTTCTCCAAACTCGGAGGGCTGCTTTCACCTTGCACTGTGTGTTGCAATTGCTTCTCTTTCCCACCACAGACCGTTCCAGTCAAATCTTTACACATCTGTTTGAACTGCTCTTTGTGATGAGGGCGCACAAACATGTAAAACCCTGCCCAAAAGAAAGTACAGTTAACATAAATGCCTGGCCATGGAAGACTTGTTGTTTTGGAGGCAATTCTTTGGAAGCTGAACAATATCACCCTTGTTCCTTAGAGTATCTTCAGGTTTGTGAAAAACTTCATCTTTTTGATATTTTTTTTTTTTTTTAATAACTACAGGATTTTCCTTGCCAGTAGACAGGTGAGCATTTGGTATCGAAAACAATCTCAACTGACCCAGAAATTTTTCCATCCTCTACAGCTAACCATAAACAACTGATCCGGTCCTTCAGCTGACAACTGATCTAGCAAAAATCAAGCATACGTAATATCTGAAAAACTGTTCTCAAAAAGGAAACTTCTCATTACTTTGGTTGACAAGGATTCACAACCCACATATAAAAATTCTAAAAAAATCCCAATTACAATTTATTGCCAAGCACACAGTTCCACCATAAAGCCCTCTCCAGTCAAAACATCTGTTCAGTAAGGACGCTGACTCTCTGTTTGTAAGAATACTCAGGGGGAGATTATGACTCACAGTGTCACACAGTTCATTTCCCCTCTTTCTCCTCACTGTCAGGAGTGATCCGATTAGTTAACACAACAGAAAAACGTGGTTTTCTAAAAATTTTGAGACATTAAGACAACAATATCCCACTGACCCTGAAGAGATACTTCGCACAAATAAATAAAGCTCTACCAGTGTTTCCCAGAATATGCTGTATGCATTATTTCCCACAGAGCAGTTCACAGCAGAGGCAGGGGAGAAGGTGAAACCGAGGTGTTACATAGCACAGTAAGAGAGGCCCCAATCAAAGCAATCAAGGGCAGCATAGAGCCTATTATTTGCAAACTAGCTATGAACAGTGAAAGATTATTGCTCACAGGAGCTCATAGCACCTATATGTTATTTTCAACTAAATAATAATGGCTTTAAAATAACCCTTACTTCGTAGGAGATGAAAGTCTTCTGGCCTCTCAGTGGTGAGGGCTGCTATCACTGGTATCATAGCATCATAGTCGTCTGTCTTCTTGTAAGTTAACAGCGCTTCATAGAAATGGCTGAAAGTGCTTTTGTCCAAAGTCTTTTTCACATCGTTGAGATAGGTAGTCCTGAGGACCTGGAGGTGATCTTTCCTAGAGCCTGAAGCTTTCTCAGGATCTTTACTTGGAGCTTGACCAGCATTATCCCCTGAGAAACAGAGAAGACAAGATGAGTAGTGCTTGGGGGAGGAACAGAGGCAAACAGGTGAGCCTTGATTTCTCTCCTATCAATTTCCCTTTTCCTGAATTACTCCAGAGGGAAGTTCTAGAGGGGTTTCCTGAATTACTCCAATGTGGTGAAGTCAACGCTGCTTGCATAGTCAAATGCCCCCCCTTCCAACCTGACCTTAGGCAGAGCCAAGACCTGCTCCTGGCAACAGCAACTGGGCAAATTAATTCTTGGGAACCCTTTTGGTGTATTTGGGAGTTTCTGGATCTTTGAGATGGAGAAATATGCCAGATAGTCACTTTGGATGAGAAAAAAACCACAGAGGATGCTGTTCTTGGAGGTCAGCAACAAACCATGTTTTGTGCTACGCTTCAAAGGAGTAGGAGCATTTTCAACAGATGGTCTGGCACAAGGGCAAGTAAACTTGACAGCAGCCTTTAGGAATAGATTTCTCACCTCCTATTACTAAAAGGAGAAAAGATGCCCTTTCCTCCCTCCCCCCCAACAGGAAAGCATAATGTCAAAATAGATTAACCAATCTAAAATTGTAGTAAAAGAGATAGCACGTGAGCAATGTAGGAGTAAAAGAGAAGATATGTGCAGCTAAGAACACCCTGCTAAACTCCAAATTGACTTCTGTTCCAAGTGTCAGTCCTTGGATTCTGATATGTCTTAGTTTTGAAAAAGTTCTGTTTCACATATATGCATATATGTAAAGGCATGTACATACGGATAAAATGTATTATAAGAAACTAATTTAAATTAACCAATCACATCATCTGGTATTTAAATATTGATTCTTCTCAACAGATAATGAACTTTTTAAAGATGGACTTAGTTACATTCCTGGAAAGGGGAAAAACACGGGCGTGAATTTTATAATCTGTAGCTTCTCACAGTAGCATACCCCACTTAAGGAGTGAATCATAGAAATAGGACATACATTTATTACTGTTATTTTTTCAATTACGTTTATTTTTTCAATTACACAAATTTCTGGGAAAAATCAATCTCACAGACCTCAGGGAAAAAAAAGCACAAAGGCCCTATTTCATGCAAGCGTTCTGAAAATTCAAAAGCAAAACAAGGAAATAAATCAGAAGAAACAACATGGCTTCATACATGAAAAGCTTTTAAAGCCTGCCAGGAAACGTTGTGTTTTTTTAAATTTATTTACTTATTTATTCTAAAAAGAAAGGATTAGGCTTTGATTATTCTTCATTCTCTAAAGAAAGACATCTAAGCTGTCCAGCTATCCTACTCATTTCCTTATGAGAAATACAAAAAATTCCCAGCTGTTCTTAGGAAGATCTATAATCAAATGAGAACTGAGCCTTTGACTTCAAAGGTAAATACTGGACAGTACAAGATTAGAGGGATACATGCAGAGATTATGTGCAACTGTGAGAATATGTTTGCTAATCTCCATTTCTGCAGAAAAAAGATTGTCCATATGAGGAGTGTACACATTACTGATAACAAAGCAGGAACTGTTTCTTCCTTCATACCTGGATTCACATTGACCTCAGCTAAAATTACATTCCTTAAATGACTCTCATTCACAAACTCTGGACAAACAGGAAACCCCCAGCAGTCTCATGACAAAGTGCCCTTTCCCTCACTGAGATATGCCAGGTCAGTCTCTCGTGCAAGTTTCTGGTTTTAGTCGGTTTCTTTCATGTTCACCTTAATTTAACTTATGAGCTTTTGTGTTTGTTTTGCACAATCCTTGCTGAAAGCTCTCAATTACCATAATTTCTATCTGCAGACTAAGAGCCACTATACTTTGTGAACACAGGAAACACTGGTTCCCAACAGAATTTACGGAATTTACAATATAAAACATAAAAACACGATACCAAGGCAGTGCATGTTATTTAACATGAAGTGTACCTGCACTAGTCAGTCCTGTTGTCAAGTGAAATCCTCCCTGGTTCAAGTGGAGTCCAGGGTTCAGCTGCGTGTATGTGTCCTTTGAGAATGTTGTTTTCTGCTGACTCTTTTTTCCTTCTGTTAAATCAAGCCAGTCCGTTAACAGTGAATTTAGGGAAGAATGAAAATAGAACAATGTGTTTCAAAGTACATTGCTTTGTGCTGAAAACACTAGGGGATGTTGACGCATTTCTTTGCTAAGAGGAGAAGAGCCAACACCCTGCTTTTTTAGCACCTTAATGTTTCAGGATTTCAAAAATTTCACAAAGTTTTGAAACCCGCAGACTAGATTCAAGATCTAAACAGATCTGTCAAAAGCCCTTTTGAAATAAGATGGCATTGTTACTAACTATGCAGTAACTAAAGCCCAGGCATCTGTATATGCTCACAGGAAGGTGGGCAAGAGGATCATGCAGAGCAGACTGAGCTCAAATTTTGATTCATCAAAATTGCTTTCCACCCTTGCATATCTATGTAGTAGATGCATCTTGCTCTGTGGTTGGACAAGGCCCATCAAAGGATACAACTGCATAGTACCGAATCAAGCTCCTCACCTATTTTCTTTGCCAGTCTCTCTCTCTCTTCCTGCAGGAGGCTGTGTTCAGGTTTGTAGCCACAGCCCACTCCAGTCAGATTGCAACATGCTTCATCAAACTGTTTTTTATGTTGAGGTCGAACAAACTGGTAAAATTCTTCCATTAGAGAGAGGGAGAGGAAAAAAAAAAGGAAGTAAATCTACAACAGGTAACAAATGCTACAGGAATTTATGACAGTAGGACTCCTGGGTTAGGTACCAAGAAAATGAAGTGTAGCCAAATAACAAATCAGCACAGTTAAAAAGCGCGTAGAGGTCAATTATAGTGCAATCATCCAAAGAAGCAGTAGGTAATTAATTTTTCCAATGTAAAATGGAAGTAGGTTACTTTTCAGTGAAACAGGTAATTGCTGTAAAATGTCATAAATTACCTCATAAGCTGTGGGGTCAAAGTGTCTGCTAGGCAGGTAGCAAAAAATAGCTGACATACGTCACCTTGCTCCACTGTAAAACGCTTACTAGCCAAAAGCCTAAACCTCACTGCAAGTCAAATGAACTTTAGATTTCACGTGCCTAAAACTTTTGAAAGCTTGACTAGTAAGACAGGCAAATTGGGAAACAGATTGTGGCCACTGTTAGCACTAAGAGCTTGTATTTAGCTTCTCATTTCTTAACCTTAAAAGTTAGCCTTAAATAATTTACAAGATGAGTAACTATTTTATTTTTTTAAAGATGAACAAAGTCACAGAAAAACCTGTCCATTTGCTTCTATGCACAGCAAACAATCAATGATTGTTTCAGATCTCTTCTCACTGTCCTCTCCTGCTTCCTTGCTAATTACAAGATGAGTAAATAATTTACACTCAAATCTTACCGTGCTGTTATAAGGAAACTTTCTGTAAAGTAGAAGCAAGAGAGCCGGAATCAGATGTTTTATTTTAAAATACTTTTTAAAAACCAAACAAAAAAAGTCCCTACCATTCAAAACAAAACCACAGAAACAAATGAATGAGGGAAAATTCAGGAAAGTTCTGTCAGACTCATTAAGCAAGAGGATGTACAGAAAACTTCCATTATTCCTTTTGACTTTCACAGAGCTCCATTTCTTTCTGCATTTCCACAGATCGAAATTATTTCTAATGTACTAGCAGAAGGATTCAAATAAGCCAGATAGCTAAATTATCCTGAACACAGCAGAATGACAGATTTCATCACTTATTTTAGGACATAAGCAACACTCAAAGGTGGTCCTCAGTAAATACACTAATCTTGTATGGGTTGCTAAGACATTGCAGGTCACTAGAAGTAAAGTCTTCTTCAGCGTTTCACTTTCCTATTGCAATATATGCACTATTCTTATGAAGCATCATCTACTGAAAAAGAAACATTAAGGGGGTAGTTGACTTTCAGTCAGTAAACGCATCGAGTTTCCAGCTTCACTCCATAAAGACTTTCCATCTTGTTTTCTCAAAACCTGAACAGCCATGCTCCAGTTCCCTCCTCTATTCAAAAGCTGATCATTCTCAATTTGATAACATTGAGAGGGAAATGAAAATTCACAGAGGAAACACTCTGTTAAACTAGAATAAATGTTAGTGAAAGTCTAGTTCCTGTCAATTCAGTCAGCATGGAATAGCTTGGGTTGGAAGGGACCTTAAATATCACCTAATTCCAACCCCCTGCCAAGGACAAGGACACCTCCCACTTGATCTGGTAGCTCAAAGCCCCACCTAACCTAGCCTTGAACACTTCCAGAGAAGGGGCATCCACATCTGGGCAACTTGTTCCAGTACCTCAATGCCCTTGGAGTAAAGAATTTCATCCTTATATCTAATCTAAACCTACCCCCTTTTAATTTAAAGCCATTACTCCTTGTCCTATAACTACGGTCCCTGATAAAGAGCCACTCCCCAGTTCTCCTGTAAGCCCCCATTAGGTACGGAAAGGCCAGACATTAGAAGCCAGGAAAATACTAGGTAAACCTGTGAACTATCCGTGCTTGTCCAGATCACTTATACTCATCACTATTTAATAGAAGACTTCTCTAGATATCCTGATTACTTAATTACAGCTTTAACACTGAACCCTTCTGAATGTGTACAGCCAACTCCTGACGACCTTCAAGACAAAACTTCATCCTACCTCCTTCCCTTCCAAATCACAGGGATTAAACTATCCTTCTTTTAGGCAAAGTTCAAAACTAGCATAAGCTTCCATTGAATATATATTTTTTATTTCAAGCCTCTCAGTATGCAAACTAAGTCATAATAATTAGATCGAGAGTGTATTTTTTGTTTGTTCTGAGAATATAAAGTGATGAATGCTAATGGTTATTGCCCTAATTGATGTGTACTTCAAAAGTAAAATGGTTACTCATGAAATGCACAAGTCTATTTGGAAGACAAAGGTCATGTCATATAAACTTACTAACTAAGGAACTTGTCATACCTCGTAACAAGATGTGTTTTTTTTCATCCTCAATAAAAAGGGAAGTCATTTGAGACAACATAGCATTGAAGTCATCCGTCTTCTTGTAGTGCTGAAGAGCCTTAGAGAAGAGATCATAGCTTTGTTGGCTTAGGGTCTGCTTCACTGTTGCAATGTACGACGTAGCTCTGGCTTTCTTTGGCTCAGTTGGGTCTGCTATCTTACCAGGTTCCTGCAAAGATGGGAAGATTTTTCAGTAGACGTGATGACAAGAGAAAGTACTCTCACACGAATTCAGACAGAAGCAACAAATTTACATTCCACAAGATTCTTTAAACATTTGATAATTTAGGGAGGCAGAAGACATCTTAAACATGAAGTAATAACTGTGTGCCTTGGACTACACATAGAACAATGCAATGCTTTCAACTAATATACTACTGTGTCTAATAAAATATTTGTAGTCGTCCAAAAAAGCATCTATCCATGTGGCATTCCCTTAAAAAAAAAAAAAAAAAAAAAAGCTTCAGTGCCACAGAAGTAATACAAATCTAACAGGGCCTGCCTCCTCTAAGAGCAGAATTAACCAAAAAACGTAAATCTCTGGCTATACAAAGCACGAGATTCAAAAAATGGAAGGTGTTTACTTATTTCTGTTCCTCTAAAAATTTCTTTAAGACACTATAAACACATGCAAGCTAGATTGCTGTCTAGTATTGGGAAACATTTTTGTTCTACAATAACAAGCTGCAGGGACTTGAAAGAGATTCAAAACAAACCCTTCTTTATGAAAGAGACTGCATCATAACGTGCTTACATGGTTTGAACATATACACCCATGACCCTTGACACGCATCAGCCCAAAAGAAATCTCATTGGGGCAATCCTCTGAGGCACGAGCGTATTATTTTCCCCAGATGATTACCCTACCTGTTTGTAAAACATCAGTCCCTCTAACAACTGTGAACATTTTTCCATGAGGGAATGAAAAGGAATGCTGTTATACACCTACTCCACTGACAAAATTGACTGCTTCGGAGGAATGTTTCCTAGAGAAGGCAGCCAAGACTCATTTCACAATTCTATTCTTAGGAGAAGCCTTATTAAGAGAAACGAGATGTACTGCAACCTTGAGGGCTAGGCTGATTCATCATGACATCAGATAGCAACAAACTGCAAACAATCTTCTGCGAAGGTGTTTCCTTTCTCACACCTTGGATACCATCAGCCTCGGGATCTGTGAATACTTTTATGAGTGTTGGATGCCAAGTGACTGATAGCCTCTTTGACAGAGAGAGCGCACCCAGTTAGGACAGTACCTTGGACAACTACTGGCATCCACAGTCACCCAGGGAATCCTCACGAATTTATCATGGCTCTCAGACAACACGATGCATCATGAGTTTACCATGGTGTCTCAATCCTCTTTGGAGACAATGCACAATAATGCACAGCTGCAAGCATAATGCACAACAATGACCCACCACAGGTCCTGTTACTATATAATCACTTACCCAAACAAAATGGGACAGTTATACTCTTTGAGGTTCCAACATCTATAAAAAAAGAACGAACTACCCACCACACCAGGTCAATGGGAGGTGATGTTTGCAAGGTAGTCACAGTCAGAGCAATTCTTTTCACCTACTAACCCTACCTGAACCTGTGATTGATTGGACCTGTGACGTCCGGATTTGAGAAAGCGCATGACAAACAGATTTCAGATGTGCGCTGATGAATATTTACAATTTGGAGAAAAAACATAATTGTTTTGGAATCAGTGTCAGTCTACATCAGTCATCTGTCTGCCTGGAAATTTGCAGTTCAAATTACAGCATTCTGCAGATCAAAAGGATGGCACAGACACATGAAAATACATACTGGATTGCTGACTAGCTTTATTTTCTTCCTTCCTCCTTTTTGCTCATCTGTTAACCTCTTCTCATACTGTAGGGAGAGTGTTGACAGACGCTGGGCCTGCAGAGATTAAAAAAGAAAATTCACAAAATTGCTTTTTAAAGTTATTACCCACTTAATTTAGCCATTTCTAGCACTAAAGCTTGTTAACTCAGCCTGTAACACCATTCAAAAGTGAAACAAATCAACCTAAATTATTGCAACAGAGCCTGGGACACTTACCTCTCTCTGGAAAGCAATCATACACTGGATGCTTCAGCAAGAGGGACCAAAAGAGAGCAAATTAAAAAAAAAAAAAGCTGGTCTTGAGGGTGCAGATTCCTAATGAAGCAAAACTGGACTTAAGGCTAGCTGTTTCAGGGTGGGCCTGGCAGTGTACACATAGCTGTGTGTTCCTGATGCCTCATGTGCCCCTTCATTTTCCTGCCTGGAAGTACTTCTCTTCTGAAGAAACCCTGTGTCAGGGTTCCTGGGATACTAAGAAAAGTAGCCTAAGCAGTCTTGTAAACAATATCAGGGCAGATGGGATAAGGTAGTATTAAAAACACTTGTGGTTTGACCAATTCTTAGTGCTCCCCATTCCCAGCAACAAATAATTGCACTTGTACTGCAGTGACAAGGAATATTGGTATATACAAGGCTCTAAAAGATGAGTGGGCATAAGCAAGAGGAGTGGAATTGCTTAATGGCAGTCTCCCCAGTACTAGCACAAGCCGGTATCAACCACATTAAAAGCATTCATCTGAGCAACAGATAAAGCTGTGGGATAGCCCCATACTGCCAGTTGGTTTCTCCATACCTGTTGAGAAAGCAGGTAGTATCAAGTTGATTTATTTCTTTGCTCTTGCCCAGTAAAACAATTTCTTAGTGAGTACGTGACCATCAGTGCATTTACAGAATAGTGTTCATTGTTCATTTGCAAGAGAAACCAGTGAAACACAACAGTATTCCTATACAATAGTATTCCTGTACTCTACTGTGGCTTCTAAATGTCTATTGAGATCATAAAGCTTTGGAGACAAACTAAATTAAACACACCTAAAACAACAAAAACAAACAAAGCCCTAAGTCAGCCAGCAACCTCAGATTTGACAGTGTAGAGCAAGTTGCTGATACTCAGAAATACAGCCTTCAGTGCACTCATAACACTGCAAGGATAATGAACTCCAGACAAAGCTGATCAGGGGACGCTCACATTTAAGTATATTTTAAGTGTCACGTAATGGAATGAAGAACTGGAATGCAAGCTGCAAGTCAGCCATGCATGATACATGCAGTAAGTCACAAAAAGGCTCAGAGACATCTTTTTAATCCCAGACTACACACAGGCTGCATCGTTAGTAGTACGATGCAAAAGAAATACCGCTTCCATGAGGCATATATCAGAAGGGAAGCTGGTCAAAGGAAACTGTCGAATTGTTCTTTGAATGGAATCAGAGACTATTTCTGGTATTTTGATTTGAGATTACAAAGGCTTGTTTTCTTAGAGGGTATTTTCCCCCTCCAGGAAATTGTTTCAGAATGATAGCAGCTTGATTTCCATACTTAAGGATACAGCATAACCTTGATAAAGGAAAAAAATGGTAATACAGTCTCTACGATGGGTGGCGAATAAAGATACGAAAGAACACCAACCATGTTATCAGTCCAAATCCAGTGGTTACTAAAATCAGCTCAACACAAGACTTGTAGAATGAAATCTGGCTCCCTCAGAGGCATCAAATCAGCACGACACACCCCAGATCTCTGGTGCCAGTGGTTATCAATTTAGGTGCAGCACAGGATGACCCCTCGGTCTTCTGCAAGTCACAGCTGAGTAGTAATGCAGTATCAGAAGGCAGACACGAGCTGACTCACTGTCAGGCCATTAGGACCATCAGTTTATCTGACTTGAGGAAATCCTGAACTAGACCATAAACAGTACAGCTGTGTTAATAGGATACTGGATCTGAGTGACCCTAGAGATGTGTCAGGCTTTCCAAAGAATAAGTTCAGGTGTCCATACCATGTCACGCCTAGGCTGCCCATGGGTGATGAATCTGATTTCTCATCAGCTGCACACAAGTAAATGTTTTCTGTTCCTGTTTCTCAAAGCTTGTACATCCCCACTTTGTTTTGAACACATCCCTTAGGGCTTTTTAGATATTCCTTAGACCCTACACTTTCCCTGAAGCAAACTGCTTAGGTATGCTGATCTAGACATTTCTGGAGTCTAAACCCCGTCATTAGCCAAACCAAGTGTACAAGGCAGCAGTTAACTACGCTGATAGTAGTCAGGCAATACAGAGCTACCACAACAACTGCAAACAAGGACTTTTGAGAAAGCAAGAACACAGCTCAGACGGTGATGTATCAGAAACCCCAATCCAAGAGGAAAGAAATCAAACAGCACAGATGTTTTCTTGATCTTGATGCAGTAATAGATTTCTCATTTTGAAAAGAAACTCCACAAGTCTGAAATATTAATTTTCTGAGACATATAAAAGATTGTCATCTGAAAGTACAAGTACTCATACAAAAACACACGCTCTTTTATTTTTTTCAGTTCAGTATCTGGTCAGACATCAAGTACTGACACAGATTCCACCCAGGTGGACCTGCATATCTACCAACCTCTTTGAAGGCTCTTTACTCTCCCGAGAGCATGGTTAACTTCCAGGAATCTAAACGGTCAGCAGTTATGGAGCACAGTACAAGTGTGCACTTGTTGGCCCTCCAGTTGAATGCGGCAATGAAACTGATTAAGTTTAATTATAAGAACTTGCAGTTTCTAGTGATGATTATATTGAGTTTTTCTTAAAAGAGGGTTGAACTGGTACTTACGTTAATACCAAATCCATTTTGCTTTAGAGCCTACAATTTTTACTTATAATTAAGTATTTTGTTACAGCATGGTCATTACCTCTTCCTCTCCTGGCAAGCCACATTCCTCCTCTGCAGCTTCACTGCTCTTCTCGTTGCGCTCCAAGGCATCCAAGAGCCCAAGACGTTGTTTTCTAGGTGAGAACAGTTTTTCTTCATATTCCATGCACAGGTTAGACGCTCCATCTCCACTTACTGGCATTACTGCATAACACAGATGACAAAAACTTTTTCATGTTATCTCTGACATTGTCTTTGATGTAACAATGCCTCAAAATCTTATGTAGCAATCCAGAGTTTGGTGTTACAGCTCATTAGTGCAACTGAAAACCCATACTGAAAGAAGGAAAGCAGCTTTTTTCCCCCTATAACATATTCCAGCTTATATTTGGAGATGGGTCTACTAGTTGTGTGAAAGGTAAATTGTTCAGCGAGTTCATCTGACTTGCTCTGCAACTGCACAATACATGGATTCAACTTATGGGAAGAAGCATAGGTGCACTGTTGGAAATTGAGGGAGAAAAAGGTGGTGGCCAAGGTAACTCCTTTTCAATGACAGTCTGCCGTCATATTTGGCTTGGACGTAATGTGAAATCTCACACTCAATCTCACAGTCATAACTGTTTTGGAACCACGGGTTTAAAAACAACTTCATTGTTCTGTTCAGAAACAGGGAACAAAACAGAGTGGAACATTCTGAACAAATATCTGATACAAGAAAGACTATTATTTTGCATTAGCTTACCACAAATTTTGAAACACTGTTTTCCTTCAAGGCCAACACCCTCTTTCTATTTTCTTAGCTGTGTAAGAGTCATTTGAACAACAGGTTGGAAGGTCGTGTGAAAGTCAGTGTTAGTCAGAACAGTTTTCCAGTTTTTATTTTTAAAAGTATCTATGATACTCCAATAAATTCCTCTTCTGCAGGACGCCTACTCAGGGCACATCAGCCTTCCTGCTCTGTAGTTGCAATAGGTTCCACTGTTTCCTAATGCCACGCTATATCCCTTCTGATCAGACTCATACATTGGTCTTTGAGCCTTCCTTGCTTTGTCTTCCATTCCAGTTTTTAGCCCCTTGCTCCTCCTTTTCTTTTGTCTTCTGTTTGTCTTAAGGCAACAACAACAAAGTGCATTTGTGAGGACCCAAACCTACCTATTCTTTTCCTCTTCAAACTGGGAACATGGTCATCCAAATTTTTGGCTTTTGCCAGGGAGAGGATCTGCTCTGATGAAGTAGATGGTGCCAGATCATTTTCATTGCGAAAATCAGCAGAGCCAGAAAGGCATTGTGGCTGGGGTGGGGGCATCTGCAAGCAGTTTACAAAATGTTACAACAGGCAAAATCTACTTTTTCACACCACTTCCTTTGCAACCCAAAATCTCAGCAACAACCTGAAGGCATCTCTTTTTTCCCAACAATCTTGCTGTCAAGACTTTTTAAGCATGCTGGTTGACGTGTTTTTGATGACAGGCTCAAATAACTATAAGGTGACACACACAGATGAAGAATAGCAAGCAGGCTTAGTGCTAAGTGACTTGTAACAGAAAAGGGGTTGTGCCACTGTTGAAGAACAATTGCTTCTTAACACTACTCCTGCAACACGGCCCCTTCTGGCAACGCACATTGGGTTGTCGTTTTTATGTACCACAAAACTCCTGTTTATGATCAGAGAAGATCAACTCATCCAAAATCCTTAATCTGTAATTTATTATTTTGAATAACATTTCATTCGGCTAAAGCATCTTCCAGGAAATAATCCAAGTCTGTTGTGAAAATTTATATGTTTATTTTAGTCTTAGTCTCCATTTAGAGAACAAAGAATTCCCTTTTCTGGCTTCCAGCCCATTTCTGGCTATGCCTTTCTCCAGTGCATTAGAAAGTCTTTTACAAGGATTGCTATTTATATCAAGGAACTACTACTGAGAAGGAGAGCTTCTTAATGCTAAGGGAGAAATCATAATAGTTAAGATGAGCCAGTGATGAAGTGTAATAACTGCTAGGTTTGTCTCACTCTTTACACCAGTCAGCTTAGATCTAAATTTAAGGGTTGTCAAACCCTTAACTCTTTCACATATATGCCTTCTCCCAGAAGACAATTTTTTTTTTTTGATGCTAAAATCAGTTTTGGTATTTGTATGCCATCCAGTGAAGGCACTGTTTATTCAGGAGGGACTGGAAAAGGAAGTTTTTTTTGTGATCTAACCTGAGGAGTTGCACAGCATGACCACATATCCTGTCACAGCTCATTCTTGGAGGAAGATAACGGATACCTCCCTTCCCGTAAAGCTTCCAATGCAAGACGATGCCCCAAAGAAAGGTTGTTTAGCAGTGACAAGTGACTCCTTCACATACCTCATGTCTTAGAATTCCCAGTTTCCAACATTACCAATAAATCCATTATTATTATTATTATTTTTGTTTAAAGATACTTGCAATTTCTTGAGCAACACGGAAGAACGTGGAGACACTTCTGACTGCATGCCCAAAGTTGTCATAAACATTCACATAAGGGCGGACCCATGAAGGCAGCTTGCCTCTTACATCGCTGGTTGTGAACCTGGTAGGATTAGAAAAGGAGAGAATTATTTGCCAGATGGCCTAAACGAATTAAACAAATTCAAGATCATGGTCCAAAAGGGCAAGAGAGGAGTAGCAAGACAAAAGGGATTGCAACAGTGAAGTAAATATAATGGAATGATGTCTGCACTCAGGAGAAAAGGGCTTTGTTGATACCAGATACTATGCAATGACCCAGTTTGTATCTTTTGCCCATGAAGTCTTTAACCATGCAAGTACTGCACAGTACTGAACTGTGACATGCTCAGTATTCCCTGTCAGGCCTCAACGCTGAAGGCTATCAATTAAAGAATTGTTGTTTCAGCAATATAATCTTTCCATATTTTCCTCCTCCTCCTCTCCAAAACTGCAGTTTTGGTATCTGCCTTCTCAAATGAGAGACGGAGAAAATGTAAAACTTAAGTGGCAATCACACGATTTCCAGTAGCATGGGGTGAAAATCTAACTCCTGCCATGCAAATTTTGTTTTTTCTTTTAAAAGACTTACAAACAAATTCAGCAAGTTAGCCTGTTTTGCAGTAATACCGTTAAGCTCTTTCTGCAGCTCCAAGACAGTATATTTTGGGAGCAGAAGATAACAAATAACTGAACTGCTTTAAGAAAATAATCATCTTACCCACTAAATAAAGTCATTCAACTACTTATGAACTGTAGCCTTCTCCTAACAGTAACCTCAGCACATTTACATACAATATACAAACACACTTTGGGTTACAAAGATATTGACACATTTATATTCCAGAACCAAGGTTTCACCTGTGGTCACACAGGAAAATAGCACCATAGTCCTGGCGATGTCTGATGACCCTGCCGATAGCCTGATTAACAGCCCGGGAAGCTTGCTGATTGTACCACTCACGCCCAGATAAATACTGCAATAGGTGGGAAAAAGAATTAACATTATTTACCAGGTGAAACATTCTCCATGATGTACAGTTATTATTTCCTTCTAAATCACTAAAAAAATATCAGTAAGATGTTCCGAGCAACCTCTAAAAGTCTGGGAAAGCAGAATACTTTGCCTCAAACATCACACCTGGCTTACGGGACACAGAAGACCCTACTAGTAATATACAGCTCCAGGATATATTTAGAATGTGATGCACTGAGAGCTTTTGTACTACAATAGACTGACCATATTATTTAATACCTAAGAGGTATCTTGCAGGATAATATACTAAATTTATAATGCCATTCATTCTTATGCCTGAAGCAATACCAAAAAAATTTACCCACAAACAAACCAGACAGCACAAGAACTTTTTCTTGCCCACCCTCTTTCTAGGTGAAACAATTCCCTCAGAAAGCTGCACGGATGACATGCACGCAAAGACTTCAACTGAAATTTTAATTACACCATTTTTTGGAGCCTGTATTTGATTGCAACCATGTCAGTGGAGACAGAATTTGGAACCCTTAACATTATCAGAAAAATGTGAATATGCTTGTGACAGACTCCCAGCGTTGTCTGACTGTTTTGATATTCATGGTCCCACAAGGCTGGGAGGATAAGAAAAGCCAAGTTCCACAGAGGGAGAAAGAAAGACACAACAAACCTACAAGTAGCCAACAGTTAAGAACTGCCCACTATTACCTGTGCACCCACACAGCTTCTTTTCATTTCATCCAGGAACTGCATCTTTAAAACAACTCTGGGCTCCATACAAGGAGGAAATGGAAGCCCAGTAATGATGACTCCTCGTCCATTTATGTCTGCGAAGTCCAAGCCTTCACTGGCCTGAAAAGAGTGTTTTTAATTACCAACAGGATTTGAATTGACATTTCAGAGATGTTCAGCAGTCACAGGCCCTTTATTCTCATTATATTAAATTCCTAGCCAAGTGCAATACATCAACCAGATTTTTTGCTTTTATTACCAGGACTTTAAACTTGGCTTTATCCTCTAGGAAGCCCTGAATTATACTTCTGCCAATACCATTAAGGAATGTCTTATTCCTGGATAAGTAGAACAGCCCTATTCAGAAGATTCTGTTTAAACATTCTATAGCCTGAGTTGTTAACAAGATGGAATAAGAACATGGTTAACCTTCTTTGACATTAAAAATGAACAGAATCATTTCAAAGCAGTAATGGAAAGTTACCAGAAATCTGCTCAGAAAACACCAGATTCTAATTTCATATTCACCAGATGTGCTGCTTACATCTGTACAAGGAGTTGTCGTCACTCATGGCCTTGTGCATGCTTATGTCTCATGCTATGCTGCCAAACCAGTGAACAAAATCAGAGTTGAACAGACAAAAATAATTTTGGGGAAAAAAAGTTGGTTTGTTCTTCAGCTGAATCATTTTCCCATCTCATTTACCATGCTGCATAAACAGCTGTGGTGGAGTGTAATATCACAGATGGATGGGGTAGAACGACCAACTCTAGTCTGCTTAAACCAGCACAATCAACAAGAAGAGAAAGCACAGCATGCACTGTCACCTACCTGGAGCTATCAATTTTATCACATTCCCTAAACTACTAAAAAAACTAGAGCAACTGTCCTAGAATCTCCTCTTTATGAAAAGGACTGGTTTTCTAGGTTTCTTTCAGGAAAGCGAGAACAGAAAATGTTAGCTAAAACCGACTGTCAACATAGAAGCTGAGCAACCATATCAAAGGGAACCTTGAAGTAATGGCTGAGAAGGGAGCTAGTTTTCGGTAGCTTTTGACAACACGGCTCTTTTGCTTTATCTTCTCAGATATTTCCAATTTTGAAGTCATACTATTAACTCTCTGTTTACAATAAACAAAACAGTGCACTACTGAAAAGCATGATCTTTCCAAAGACTCCATTCCTCTGAGGGTGACACAGTATTGTTGGAAGGACAATAGAGACCATTTACTAGAGTCCCAGCCAAAAAGAACAATAGCTTTTCTGAATTGATCCAACAACTGCTTTGACGAAAAGGACTGAAGGTTCAAAAGATGTTGACTCAAGTTTCTTTTGGTAGACAGCAGGCAGCAGCAAAAAGACTCTAGGAGTAATTCATGACTTGGCTAATATTTCCACTGGTATCATAGATCAACTTATCAACACTGTTAATCATAAATGAAAGGTCACCAAATAGTCCATGGGGACCTGAACACACTAAAAATTCCATCTTGAAAACTGAGCAATACTTTTTAGTTTTCAGCAATGTTGTTATAACATGATTGACTGCAGTTTTTTCTTTTAATCCTCTTCCTAAACTCTTGTTCTCATCCGATGAGTCAAGTTTGCTGTGAGCAGCCAACAGGAAATGTATTGTGATGCTCATTCCCCTTAAAGAACTCAGAGGTGTATCCCTTTGATAAGAACAGGAAATAAAACATAAGTCTAATGGCATAAATTTGAAAAGGCTTCAGGGCATCCCATTTTTCTTCTTGTTTTTTTTTTTTTTTTTTTTTTTTTTTCCACGTATAACTAGTCACACAATGCAAATGTTCTTCTTAAATCCCAAATGACATCATGTCCACTACATAATCTGATCTCAGATAAAATAAATACTCATTTACATTACCTTTCCCCGACATACTGCAAAAAAAGCAGCTCCGTTGGACTTAGGACAGACAATTTTATCATAGTATGCATCCATTACCTAAAAGATAAACTAGTTTAAGTAAAAATGGTATTAACATTTGCATCTGCCTAAATAGAAACCTGTACTAGGTAAACTTGACTTGTCCACCAAGATGTAAAATACAATTAATTAACTGCACAAATTAATAAACACCCAAAGCATGACAAGGTGGGAAGAAATGGTCCACAAACCAAAGATGCCAGCTACTGAAGTGACAGCTTTCTACTACGTCAATTACTCAATAAATGTGCATGTTTGCTGCTGTTACACATCACTGGATTTCAAAGGAAGACTCTACCTTGCACAACTAGGTGAAAGAGTAAAGGAAAGATGAATAGAAAAAATATAGTTCAAAGAAGCTCTTGGAGCATTTTGATTTTATTCTAGGAACATGCAGTTAGCACCTAAGCACATGATAGAGAAGGTATTTAAATATCATAATAGCTTGTGGAAACATTACAGTTATGTAATGCAAATTACCAACCACTGCAAAGCTTCCTTTATACTTGGGTTCCACAAATATTGGCTTCACTTCTTCTATTCTTTTAGCAAAATCATGCTCCTGTTAAACAGATAATGAACATATGAGAAATGCCCATGTGAAGGGACACTTATACCAGAAATGACCATGGGAAAGGAAATGGTCAGGGGCAGTCATCACAGATACCTCCCACCATCTGTTCTGCTCTTGCTAAACATGAGGAGATGGGTGCAGAAACACACAATTCTAATGACACCGAGAAAGCAGTGGTTTTTCACAGGTGGTGTAACTCAAACATTACACTGAACAGAGGTCCGTTTATTTTCCTTCCAACTTGCAAGTTCCCAACACTGACCTCTCAGAGACCCACCCATTCTGGGGTCAATTCACTTTTAAAACAATTATTATATCTTTGTCCCAGCATTCACTTTTAAGGAGGAGGAGAGTATAAAGCAGAACTGTTCTGTCAAATCTCACTAGAGACGCTCAAGTCATGAACAAAGCAGTTTTAAAAAAAATTACAGTTGGCTACAAATTAAAAACAAAGATTCATCCTGGGATTTTTATTCCTCTCAAAAGCTGAAACACTTGAACAAACTATAATTTGGAGGTTTAGTAAAAAGTAGTGTGGTGAAATTAAGTGAACTCTAAGACCAGATCAGACAATGTACTAATGTATTATTCTTCCTTACTCAGACTTTTTACTTTCTGGATTTAATAATTACTTATTAACAAAGAATTTTGAAAGAGCATAGTTAGATAGCATAAATACAAATGGTCTGAAGTGTGCAACTAAGTCACCTATAAACGGACAACAGTTAACATACTCTCCAATATTCCAAGCTCTTATCCATGACAGGATACGATGGGAAGAACACCAACAGTCCATGAGGTACAACTCGCACAAGATTACCTGCAACAAGATAGGGAAACGTAGAGTTCAAAGCAGTTTTCTCCTGGAACAGAGAGCATAGATTGTGCAAGAAAAGTAGATCAACAACATGGCTTCTCTCCATAATCTTTTCCGCTTCCTTGACATTAAAGTTGGTGTATTAGAAGTTAATTAAAAAAAAATCATTTCAATAACATTGTTGTCAAGGTATAAACTTCAGACTTTGTTGTTGCAAAAGTCAGTGTTACAGGTTTTCTAAAGTGTAGCTTTAACAGGATAAAAGATGTTACAAGTACAACAAAAGCCTAGACAAAGAGATACAACATTACCTGCTGTATTTTCAAATGCAACAGCAGGACCTATTTTCAGATCTTTGACATTTCAGACACCTTCCAATAATTTTCCAGAAATGCTATACAACAGTCTGTTTCTGAAATCCACACATCCCACTTACCAATTGTTTTCCCCAAAGAAGATAAATAGTCCTCTGAAAACCTACAAACAAGAACAGTCAAGTACCATCATTGTATTTCCTCCTCTCCATTTTTTAATGCAAATTTACTTCCTGATATTCATCTAAAATAGCACATCCATACTCCCAATCACCCATGCCAAACACATGGTATTAGTAATACTGGCTACACGATGCTATTACTATAAATTTTATCCTTCACACTGAAGATGATCTAAGCTTCAATATTCAACATCTAACAAGTTGAAACGTGCAGCCATACGAGTTTTATGATTAATACTAACGTTAGGAGTGAAAGTTCTGCCAGAAAAGTCTGTAGATGCTCTGAAGCCTGACTACCATTACAGCTATTAAAAATAATTATTGGTGAACTAGGTGTGGTGAGGCTTGGGGGGGGCAAAAAGAGTGAATTTGGTTGCTATGGTTATTGTTTACTTGGGGTATAAGCAGAGTGAATCATTTAATGTACTGCTCTACAACGAGTAGGATTTATCTGTTTCTTCCAGTCCTGACTAAAATGTCACCTGTTCCCTCATGCCTCTACATTTTTTTCTTTTTAGTTCCACGTAAATCTGCATACATTTTTTTTTTTTGGTTTTCCCAGGAAACTTAAATATGCAAGGAAAAAAAAAAAACACAGATTTATGTTTGCAAGAGCTGTAAATACCAATATCACCAAACAGCTGCTGTCAAGACACACCTAACACTGTGCATTCCCCAGCCATTTCCACTCAAGAGACAGTATCTTCAGCAAATTAAATGAAATGTCATGATAAGATTCTGCAAATGAAACAGACAGTCTAAGGGTTTTCCAGACTGCTGCTGCTTCTCTGTGAAAAATCAGTTATAATTGTTGAGTCCCTTTCCACTTCTGTGGAACATTTGGGATTTTTCCCTTTTTTGCAGTAAAAACTCTTTTAGATCCATTTTTGGATTTCTCCACACTGCTGAAAAAGAGCAAGTCAGGCCTGCAGCAGGCAAAATCACAGAATTCTCAGGCAGAGTTTTAGGTATAATGTCGAAACTGGAAGAGATTTACGAATGTGATATCTTAAAAAAATAGGAAGAAAATTAAATGGAAGAACACGTATATCACACGGAGGGAACTATCCTCATTTCAAAGTACTATAGAAGGATGACAACCCTAAACACAGCACTGGCTCAAAGGCCATGTCGCTCTTTAGTAATGTCAGAGTGCAGAACCGTCTAATATGTGCAGCAAAGCATGAAGCTACATCTTAAAATGATATGCTGAGATGCCAATGAGATCATTACATTATGGAATAGAAGTCAATATACAATGAACTTATATGCTCTGGCATTTCTCGCTGGCAGCATTTTTATTTCTTCTATGGAAAAAACAAAAGCTGCAGAAGAAGAAGCAGTTTATTATGAAGAAAAGAAAGACATGGACAAAATGATGAAAGACCAGAGGAAAGAAAGAAAAAATGATGAAAAGCTTGACAACGATTTGGATATGTTTTTCTTTAAGAGGCACTGCAGAGGTGGAGACTGATCATGACAACAAACTTTAAATACAAAAATAGTTGTTGCAAAGGCCAGCCATTTTTCAAGTCAATTAAGCTTTCAGCAAATAAATTTAGACTAGGGGTTCATGTCAGCGAGTTTGGGCTGCTCTGTAACAGGAATGAAGGTGGCACCTGAAAGTGGCACATGAAGGCATGCAGGGCAGGGGCCCTGCCACACTAACAGAGCAAGGCAAGCAGGAAAGACTCAGAGGGAGTAGTTAAGCTCAAATCCAGATCATCAGGCAAAGTCATGGTGATGGGGAAGGTCCAAGGTCAAGCCAGGAATGGAAGTCAGTAAACCAGGATCAGGTTCAATGACATTAAGTGTCACAGTCCTGTGATGGTGAGAAAGGTCCAGTGACAAGGAGGACAAGGTCAGGAAGTCAATCAGCAAGTCAGGGTCAGATCAGTAGGGCTGACAGCCAGGTGTGGTTATGACAGAGCTGGAGACATACTTCTACAGCAGCGTGGGCATGGACCGAAGGCCTTGGCCTGAACTTAAGTGGAACTCCTAAGCCCACGCTCCACTCCTGATCTGTGGGTGGAGGCCCCTCAAGGCTGATCGGGGCCATTAAGGACTCTTAGTGCACTCAGTGCCCTGATGCTCAAACCCTTCCAGCCTTCCACTTCTAAACTTGCTACAGTAGTGGTAAATGGTGTTGTTATTCAGCACAGTGCTCATCCGAGAAAACAACTACAGAGATTACTTATTTCACAAGAGTCTTCCTTCAAGAACCAAAACCGTAAGAACCCACGACCCCAGTGAACTACGTGGAATCCTGCTTTACCTCCTTTCATAGGTAGAAGTGAGCACAGCTCCATCAGGTCCTTTGGGAATGATTCCAACCCAGAGCTGGTGTTTATCAATAACATGAGGATTCTCCAAGCTAACAGGAAAAGGGCTGAAGAAAGAGGAAAACAAAACCCAAGTCATACTCACTCTATGATTCCCTATTAGCTACCAGTCTAGAACACTCAAAAATCCTGAGATAAAACAAAAAATCATGAGCTCAAATGATGCTTTTTCAGTACTGTAACTGTTCACACACCTAGGTACTTACATCTGCATTTCCATTGTAAATGATGAGAGTGGAGAGAGAGTCCCACTAGTAAGGATAATCGTCCTGACTCCTTGTCGAACAAGATCATGCATGCTATATCCAGGACTGAAACACCAATAGCTTAAGGTCTTTCCTGTATCAAATAAAGAGAAAACACTAAGAAGCAAGCCTGTATGGAGGAAAAATCATGAATATGAATTAGTCATATTATAATTCATGACTAATTATACGGATATAGCACACATCAGCATCTGAACTTCTAAAACTAAAAAGACCAGCATATGAAGCTAAAACTCCAGACGTATGTGTGCTTTGCTCTTTTCAAATTTAATTATTATGGCAATTCACAAAATAGTTTACAAGGTCATTGCTCATTCACACCTTAAGTAGATTACATTTTAGTCAGAAGATTGTTATAGAAAAGACAGAGCATCAGAGCATTCTGTCAGCAAGTAATAGGCAGACTGAGTAGATAAAACTACTTCATCCTCCATCCACTGATCCATCTTCTGCTGTCACTGACAACTGGAAGTGGAAGCATGGTGGGAGAACTGCAGAATACTGGGATAAAGGACACATGACTGAAGTTACTCAAAAATACTTCCACCCTTACACTTGGTTGAAAAGAAATCTTTCTCCATCAGGAATTTCCAAAGGCTAAGAAGTTTTCACATAGTCTTTCCATTTTCTCACACCCAACTACCAAACCCTTCAACTTTTGCTCAAATCTTTTGTGGGATACGGATATAGAAATACGTGCCACACTGAAAATCTGGCATACTATAAATTATCAACATAAAGGATATAAAGAAAAGCAGGTTAATCCCACTACTGATTTTTCTCATTGCTCATCTTACAGCTGTACAATTGGTGGCTCTGCTGAAAACTTAGCATCAGCTTTTCAGAGACATCCAAAAGAACCAAAAAAGGAAATGATCACCTACATCAAGAACAAGAGCACACAAATGAAACATTAATCATGCAAAACAGAATCCAAAAGCTAAATTCAGTAAGAAATCCAGTATCCACGTATCATGTGTGTGTCATTTAAATATATACATGCTTCTTCCAAAGACCATTTCCAACAAGGAGCTGACAGCTTCAGGAAATCCCCAGTAATATGTCCCCAGTGAGTCACTTACTGCTTAGATTTACAACGGAGAACATTTATTTTAAGCTAAAGCTTTATCCTCCCATCTCATTTGGACAAAGCCAGGCAGATGTCTCTTCATTTCCAACCTGAACCTCCCCTGGTGCAACTTGAGGTCATTCCCTCTAATCCTATCACTGATTATCTTTCTTTCAGGTAGTTGTAGAGAGCAATAAGGTCTCCACTGAGCCTCCTCTTCTCCAGAACAAGCAACCCCAGTTCCCTCAGCTGCTCTTCATAGGACTTGTGTTCCAGACCCTTCACCAGCTTCGTAGCCCTTCTCTGGACACGCTCCAGGACAGAAAGCATAAGAAGTGTCAGAAGCATAAGAAATTCCAGCAGAAAAGCAACTGGTATGGGATGGCCTAAAAGAGAACACCAACCACTCACATTTGCCTCACCAGCACTCGATTTGAAATAGACTTCTCTGCAACCCTGCAAGAGGACTGCCAGGCATCAATTCCCCAGTTCTTGGGGAAGCTGGAACTGCAGTACATTTTTCAGCCTGGTGCTCTCCTATTATGTCTTTAAGGTTAACAATATTAAACTGTTTTTCGAAGTCCCAATCACTACCAGGAAGCTTGGATGCTACACAAGGTAGATCTCTGCAGCAGCTTGTTCCATTCCTAGTACAAGGACAGTTAATCCAGGGATAAATGATTTGTGAGTAGTTTATGACACGGTGATTTAGAGCAAACCAGAAGTAAAAGCATTTTATTTTAATGTACAAATGCAGTTCAGTATCATGTTTTTAAGTGGCATCAGTAGCCAGGACAGGTAGCTAGGACTCTGGATGTTTCTAACTATCCCAAGCTATGTCATTTCTCCTCATCAGTCACAATTTATAGAGAATTAGGCCCAAGGGCATCATTTCTATAAAATCCCTTAAAACGAGCTATTCTGAAGAGGTTTGCAGCATTCTTATAGGGTCTCCTACACCACTACAGGGAAATGGGATCGGATCAGTCCTGGATGGCCTCTATATACAATTCAAGTCTCAACACATTGCTAGCTGTTGCGTATGGATTTGTGAATACAGTTTGGATTTGAAAAGCAGAGATATCCATATGTGCTTGCTAGATTACAGAAGGACTGTGTCACTGCTTTTTGGTTGAAAATCCTCCCAATTATGCATTAAGTCTATTGTTTCTGTTAGCCCTTCCCTGCACACATACTTCGAAAAATCTACTTAAAATTATTCCTGTAACTTGAAACTCTGATTAAGCAATACCTCAGGAAAATGGTATCTGCAGATTACCAAACAGAACTTTCTCTGTTCAGAACAGTGAAGGGAGCACTTACGTTGTGGAAAAACTTATGGGGACATTACATGGAAAAAAAAAAAATCTGGAAAAGCATTCTTTGAAAAAAGTCACTTTGCCCTTATGAAAGGACTTCTGTGAAATGAATAAATACATTCTCAAGAGCATTTCATTGAATAATTAAGTAGATAATGAGGCAAGGTATTTACAAAGGTCCTTGGAGAGTATTCTGTTAAAGAAGGCTTAGGCAAAAGGATCTGCATCTCTCTTCTTTAATCAGAAAATCCTTAGAAATGGTTTATGAATGTTTTCCAGACAACTATTTATTAACAAAAATTAAAAATACATACTACTACTACTACTACTGAAAAAAACCACAAAGCTCTCTGTTACAGAGCTTCAGAATAAGCCAACCAACTATAGCTCCTCCACTATATCTGAACAATTTCAACAGAGAACTTTCAATAATTAAGAACTTTCAGTGAATTTACTAATATAAAACCTTTGGCACACATTTTCAGTACCATATTTATGCATGGCTCTTCTTGTAAAAAGGTAGTTACAGCCTTAGCAACACTAGTTTTGCATTTATCACAACACGGTAGTAGAGAGAAATATAGCTTGTATGAGGGTCTCAGAACATTTCCTAAACTTCAATGTTAATCCTCAAAGATTTCCTATTCTTACACAGGTCTGAAGACCTTCTTTACACTCATTCAGTCAGCTGTTCCATAATGAAGATTATTTTCTTTCATTGGAATAACTGAACTAGAAGAACTCCAATGCAGAGTGCACACAGCAGCACTGGTAGAGGTGTATTTTATATTGAGATTGCTTACGTCACCTTGCCTTCAGAAGTAACCACAAAAGTGACAAGTGCCTCCTAGAGTCATCATATCCACAGCAGAGCTGTACTTAGAAAACTGGAAAGTAACATGCTGAAGCAATCTTAAAACTCTTCAAACTTATCAAAGTCGCAAAGCCTTAGAAATCTACCCTGCTCTAGAGAGAGAGAGCTCCAGGACAACACGAATACCCCAGGTCTCCTCGTATTACAGTAAATGACTAAAACGCAGATCAGGATGTCATCAATTGTGTTCCCTTATTTGAATCAAAAGGAGCAGTTGAGTAGCTTTAGCATAAGCCTGCCAGAGTACCAGCTCTATACCTTGTTTTTTTGCAGCTGATGAATCCCAGACATTTGTCTTTTGCTTCTTCTGATTACCGTTTTCCAGATGAATGTGTACCTGAAGGAAAATAACAATGACACTCCTAGAGACTGCTGCAGAAACAAACTTGCACTTCATCCCTTGAAAAAGCTAGGTTATGTTAAGGGTAGTTAATGTAATTAATGCCATTTTATGGTAATAAGGTCATATAACTTCTTATCTGTCTCTCACGTTTTTCTAGTCTGTCATAATGCACCTGACAAGGAGCACAGAAGCATATCACGACAAATAGCCATTTTCAGTCAGTTTATGGAAGCACTATGTCATGGGCTGCCCTGAACAAAAACAAACGCCACAATTACTTGGGTATTGTCTACCAGGTTATAACTTGTAAGCTAGAAAAAGTATTATGGCACTAAAAAGACTTCCTTTATCTGACAACAAAAACAGCCTCAAGTCTCCAACTTAAGATGAAATTTACTTTTGACTTAAAACAAGATCTGTTCCTAAAACTTGTTATAGCACCACAGTTGTTGAGTCCCAAACTCTATCCAAATAAGGACTTTGGGTTTGCTTTTTTCTTAATGGCTGTACTGTACTTGGTTGTATTAGGTTAAAGTCAAATAATTTTTCAAACTCTGATTATTTTTATCGAGAAAAAAGGAGGAAATTTCACTCAAGCCTTATGAAGAACTCCTTCAAAAACGGTACTGCAAAATATGAGTCAACCAAGAAATCAGTTTGCTGGCAGAATACACTGATTCTTGCATAATTTGCAGTATAAACATTTTAATAATTCACATTTACTGCACTTCTTATTTCATTTTAGGTAAAACTAAAAAAGGTTATTTAAAATTTGCTGTGTAGATCCCCTTTTTCCATAGAACCTAAACTAACCACATTTCCTTTTTTTTTTTTTTTTCCTGGAAGAACTTACATACCCTCCTTGTAGCCAACACCATAATTTGCAATACTATCCGCGTCTTTCTCAGTGTTGAATACACTAAGCACAAGCATGAAATGCCACCATGGAAAAAGGCAGGACTCACACAGCTTTCCATACCTTATAGTATCTGGATATCGACTGAGGTGGCACAAAACTTGTTGTGCCCTCTGGAGGATCGATGTTGAATACTATCTGGAAAACAGACATAAAGAAACACAAGTTTTAACAACTGTTGCCAACAAAATCCCCAACATATCTTTGTAATGAGAAGTATCTCCAGAACAATCACTGTAGGGATAACTAAATATATCTCCTTGATTCTGTAAACTAATTAAAGCGGAAAATGTTGAATATATTTTTACAGGCAATTTCTGCTAACCACTTGACTTTCTCATTACTCCAAACAATACAAGCCAGTATCTAAATATATATTGAAACCATACAAATGACAGTGTTATTATTCACACTGTACTTGACTTCTGGCTGTTGATGAATATAACCACATTGCATGCTCAAGAGATCAGAGTCACAACCATGTGTAAAAGAACTTTTAGAATTCCCTCAGTTAAAAATTTCAGTCACGATACCCTACATTAACAATATTCTTCCTAGAGAAAAATCAAATTGTAAGCATATTTAGTCGTCCATATTTTAAATGAAAAAGAAATCTAACAACTGTCCTGAACAGAATTATGCTTCTTATCTTTTCCTGTACATGATGTCTTATGACTAAGGATGATGATCTTTCAAACATATGGCATTTCATGAAAACAGCTGTGTTTCTCAAATATTTATAACTTCTGTTATTTTTTCTAAACAAAATTTCTTCAGACTTCTAAAAGGAATTATCTAAGCTCACAAAAATATTAGCTAGTTACAATCAGAATGATGTTCTCCACTAGTCAGAAAAAAAAAAAACAGAATTCCTGGAAAAACAAACTTCTAAAATATATCCAAAGACATTATGTACAAGAAAGATTTTATTAAGTGTTCTTCTAAAAGAAAAATAATAATAATAAAAAAGCTGGTACAAAGTTAACTGTTGAAGTCAGAGCTCTGTAAGAAGAAAATGCTGTTTTACCAAGCAAGACATTGACTGTAACCTAATCATGGTGTTAATTTGTTATCAATTTGTTATCTTGAGATATTTGTACGTGCCAGATGATTTGGCAGTAACTGTCCATGTGCACACTCTCAGCAGTAGATGAAGAGATCTCAGCTTTCATTGAAAGATGTACCATCCAATTCAAATAATCTTTCATCTATCACAAGCTAGAAGAGCACACACAGACAGTTACCTTTGGCCCCGTAGCGCCCTGTAATCTGTAGGCTCCAGTCACTAGCATTTGGCTTCTACTGCTGACTCTCATCACCTTGCAGCTTTGAAACACCAAAAAACTAATTTAAATTTAAGGGTACCTCCTGTTCCCCATGAAAGAACCAAACGTTTTCTGATTCACTGATTTCAGTGTCAACTTCTAAAATGTAAGAAGTTTTGGTGAACAAAATCCAGAGATAACCACGGAGACAAACATATCTGGAGCAGCAGAATACATACAAAAGCAGAAGTAACTCTTATTAGCTTCTAGAATATGATAAAGCACAGTGCCAAGAAATTCCAAGAGATATTTCAGGTGACAGTAATGAATCTGATCAACCCACAACACAAGGATTGTGATTAAAAAAAAAAAGAACAAAAAATGCAACTGCGATTTCTCTTCTATAACCTCTTTTGACCGGAATTCTTTTAGAACATTCCAAAATTTCTTAGAAGACCCATTCCTATGGCACTGAAGTTAAAAAATCCACACCCTGTAGTAGCACTGAACTTGCCAGGGCAGACCACATACGCATGCTGCTCAGAGATAAGGAGGATTCTGAGACCTCCAAGTGACCTGGGGAAAGCCAGGAAAACAAGGCATTTGCCAGCCACACCAGTTAAACTAGCAGGGATTGCTTTGATAGTGATGGTTTCAGAAAGCAGCAAAGTTTGAATGCACTTCTTCAACTACTTCGTAGTTTTTCATGGGTGTAATTCTGCGGATTCGTTTTTGGAATCTGGTAAAAGGCAACTCCTTTTGGACAAGTGTTGTCTCCAACTGCACAGCTGGCTGGAGCATGACTCCATATACCACCAGGAGAGAAAGAGCTCAGCAAATCTTATTAAGTAAAAAAAGTGAATCATCTATTGGATTACTTTGCTAACAAGTTCACTGTCTGACTGTTCTCCTGCAAGTGCCTAATAATGTTTTTTGGAAAAATTTTAAAGGTTAAAGATTACTCTTTTCTACTAACCTTCAATTCGTGAAAACAAGGATTCACATTTCAGCTAAGCAAGTAAAATCTTAGGTGAAAAGCAACAAATTAAATGCTGTGTAACTCACACTTACTCCTTGTAAGATTTCCTAGCAATCACCAGGAAGACAACATGGATGCTATCAGTACATTTTGGCACAAATGACAAACCTGAGCTGTGTCATTCAAAATAAATAAATACAAATCCAGTATCGTGCTAGAACTTTTAGAGAATGTGGCTAAATTCAAATCTGAAAGTATAAAAGGGAAATAAATGTGGGAATGTTATAAATCCTTCAGCAAAAAAAAGGAAAATTGAAGTACATAGTTGCTAGTGCACTGAGAGAGAAAACAATTACATAGCAAGTTTTTTAGGTGTTCTGAAAATAAGGACATTAAGCAAGAGCTCATTTGCATGCTGCTGAATGCAGGGCTGGACACAGAAGTAATTCAATTTTCAGATTTAATAAATTGCTATGGTTTTCCTCATTTTGCTGTCACAGATTTCACTCTTCTTTTGCCTGTATTTACATTATTTTATCACCATTTTTGTCACTTCTGTGTTTACAGGAAACACAGATTACACTTCTAAGCAGCATATTTTCCAGCAGAAAGATCTACAAGATGAGGTATTTCTGGAAGTCTGTCAGCTAACCTATTAGGCAGGCTACCAATGAACAGAACAAAACCAGGGAACTACAAAAAAAGAAGACTGAATATTGACAGCCACAACAGTCTCTGAAGACTAGGATTTCTTGTATCAATTATAATTTTTAATAAGGAAAACCGAACCAAACGAGAAAAAAAAAAACAAAACATTAAACCAAGACAGAAGAGCAATGAAAAAAACACATTAAAATGTCATTATTATTATTGTCACCTAACTATTCAAGTTAAGGGAAGAAAGACCTTTTTGATCCAAAAGAAACACAAGTTATTGGAAAGAAAAGGTCTTATTTCACTTATTAGGAAATGTCTAATTCAACCTAAGACTGCCAGTGACTCAGGCAGTGACAGATTTCAGGCTCTAAAATCACCAAGTTGCGGGAATACGGTCAACTGTATCCCAAATGTCAGCAGATTTTCTAATATGCAACGGTATAGCTAAAATGCTATTTGACTGTTAAGTTCTCCAAACTTTATTGCTCAAGAATGACTCAAAAACATCAGAGCTTTGATCAACTTCAGAGGAAAACCAGAAATTGAACTTCAGGCCGCTGGTCCATTGCACTTTCTCATTTTATGTGAAAAACTGGGCCCCATAATTGATACTTTTTAATTGCACAATAGTGAGAGTATTGACAGCACCATTCTTTTTCCCCACACACTTTGAAGGTTCAGTTCCTGTGGCACTGAAAGGAGTTTTATTTTACTGATCCTTTAATTTAATAATTAAGTGGGAGAAAAAAACAACAATTTTTGTTTGCTTTGTTACCTTAGCCTGTCTTGATCTTTTACAAGATCTCACATTCCCAAACACTGCTGCTCATATGTGCGCTGCTCAATAGTACAGCTCCACCTGGTGGTTGCTAAAACCAGATAAATTTAACAACTCCAAAAAGGGACCTCAGAACTACAAAAAGAATAACCTTGGTAAAAATCAAAGTAGATCATCTCATTAGGCAACAACTAAAAACCTGTACATTTCCATCAGTGCTCAAATATACATATAATCAAGAATAAAATTGATCTCTTTAATGATATTGCACATTTTTTAAAACCAACTCTTACATCTTTCAGGAATATGTAGCTGCAACATTAGTTATTTACCTGGATAATATCTGAAAGTTTATGCAGTCCAGATGTATTGACAAATACCCCAGTACCTGCAGAGAAGAACACCATGATCACTTTTAAAACACAAATATACCGTTTGGATATATACAAATGCACCTATCTAAATAGCACAGCTCCCTGTGAACACAACTTGAAAATATTATCTGAAGCAAATAAATTATTTCAAGTTTTTCATCATTATTCCAGATGCAAGAAGAAACGTAAAACTGGCATTCCACAGTAAGTTTCATGTTTCTTCCATATTAGGCAACTAAACTCAGTTTCTTAAAATTCTGTTGAGTGAACAGACTTAAATTTCTCAAAAAAGGGGACCTAGCAGACAAACTTAATAAAATGACAGAGGTCCTCAGGGTCAGATTTTAGTTTTTAAGAGTTTTATAATTTAAATCCAATGATGACTTTATCCTCTTCCCCCCATACTATACAAGCTTCCAATTACTTAAGTTAGAGAGTAAAGTCCAAGTGAAATGACAAACAAATTTATACTTACGGCTTGAAAGAAACTGTAAAATCTGCTCTAGTGACTCCAGGAGTGAGGATTTGGTCTGGAATGTTATTTGGGCCTTCGCAAACAGATCAAAGATGTAGCTGCAATTTAGAAAGAAAAAGGCTCAAATCAGTAAACATTGTAAATAATCACATGGACAGAATTACTATTATTCTTTTACAGCAAGAACAATTTCACCATGTAGTAGCAAAACATGTTCTTGTCTCTCTGTAAAAATGAAAAAATTATGGGAATGTAAATAAGTATTTGGTTATAAAGATAACATGGACATGACAGAAGGCATACTGACCACATCCTTTACATTTTTCAGATTTATCTACAACACATGCATTAATGATCTAATTAACTAACTACAATACATTAAATTAGAATAAGGTTTACATGCAATTTCTACAATTTCTAAACTAATGCATGTAGTACGCTGTAAAGAAGTGGACTTACAGAGCTCTGGGATACCTCAAACCAAATCACTGCAGCATTAGTACCTCAGTTTAAATTATTTCTTTGTGTAAACACAAAGAACTTCTTTCATAGGCAAGAAGCTCACACTAGACTGAAGTTTAATCTTTGTTTAGAATTTATTATTCTTTTAAGATGCAAACATATTACTGAGATGAAGTTACCTTCCATTTTTGGTGACTCCATTTTTATTTGGTGGCAACTCCACTTCATCAATAGCACTTTCCAGCTGAAGAAGAATTTCTTTGAGGGAACGAAAAGAGAAAAAAATTAGGGTTCATAAACTCACTTTAGGGATTCATCTGAACCCCTTTTTCAATCAGGCTTCATTACAAAAGTTATTGGCTCCCTCTACCGAAACAAGTGAGAACTGCTTTAGAGACAGCAACCTAGCTGTTTTCTTGATGCTGAAAACAAATCAAGATGATTAAGAGCAATTTCCTAGATATCAGGTCTAAATATTTTATAGAACTTTAACAAGTTCTTATGATCTCAGCTCTTGAATTGCCTGTGATACTCATAAAATACAGTTGTCAGCTATATTTTAAATTCTTCTCCATAAATGGGGAAAGTTGTTTGTGGAAATGCTTTGCAAACATGAGACATCTCAAGCCCTTGCTATGATTGCTACTTAGCATCACATTCTTACAGCAGAAGAGTGCAACTAATATATTGCCAGCACTCTGACAAGATTAGAAAATAAGGGAACTTCTGGCAAAGAAAGGAGTGATGCCTTCATTTGGCAATGCTCTCACCTTCAGTGGAAATAACTGCAACTAAACATTCCACCAAATGCTCAGAAAAAAGAGACAACTTAAAACTTAAATGAATTTCTCAGTTATGTGCAGATGTCAACAGAAACTCACATGAACCTGATTATAGTTGACCAAATCACCTTTTGAAATTGTTTCAACAATTTTTGACAACACACACACAAAAAGGAAACTTACTTTTTATCTTTGCTAGATCTTCAAGTTCCATGTTCAGCCCTGGTGAAGAAATGAAAGGTTTCAAAAAGGATGTTTCATGCCCGTTTCATTCCTAGTTTCTTTTAGCCTTTTCAAAAATTATGGATACAAAGTCGAGGTCTGTGCATACAGAAAGAGATCTCCTGTATTCCACTCACTGCTCTCTTTCTCGTGAAAGACCCCTTACATCACATTGGTTTGGCCAAAGCTTTACATGTTTGTCTGACATTAGTAATGAACAATAATTTATCTACTACTGAGAGTCAGTTTTCCAGAAACTTTTAGCTATTTGCTAGTTCTGCTTCCCAGAGAAGCAGTGGTTCGTGGTTGTCAACACACCTGAATTGTCCATTTCCATATTGAACTCAGCATTTACTTCTTTCTGCTGAACTGCTTTGGCTTGTTCTTCCAGTAGTATATTTAAAGTATCAATTGCTGAAGCCAAATCGTAGGCTGTCAAGTCAAAAGAAGATGACTCTTCACACAACTTTTCCTAAAATATCAAGGAATGGAGGCATTACTTGGACTGCACAATGTGCTGTTTGCTCAGGCAGTTACAAAGATAAATAGATCATATATGACCAGGCTTGACTTCCTTTCTGATCTCCAGCTCAGGTCAGAGGACATTTTCAAATACCTGAAGACTGATTACTACTAGGCATCCTTTTTGCCAAACACTTTTCCCTTTCCTGCATTACTGATAGTTGTACATCTTCCACATAGCAGCAAATCAGCACCATCAAAATCACTTTTAGTTTTAATAGGCCTCACATCCTTTGTGTCCTTAACGTTGCTGCTCATAGATTTTTCTTGACATCCCTTGATGTCAAGTTTTGAGCCAACAAAGAGGAAGATCTCAGAAGGCAGCACTTCTTTTTTTTGTCTCCAGGAATGAAGACTTGGAAATATGACAAGAGTTGTGCTTGTCATCTACTGCACTTGGACAACTGATGTGGTTGAGCTTTAAGAATGAGCACCCTCAAGAACTCTTTAAACAAGAAAATGAGCACCCATATAAATCTGGAGACCTACCCTTCAGGAAAAAACTACCACTTTGTAGAAAAATCACAGTAGTGTCAAAGGACTGTTAATTAAACTACAAAACTTTAAATGTAATTGAAACAAGAAATATTCAAGATATTTGACATTAACAACAGAAATAGCTGGGTACAGATTTTACAGACTATTTGTAATACAGCAGTGGTCTGTTTTTCTTTTTGGATGAAGCTTGAAAAATGGTTAACAGAGAAGAAACAACTTACCACATTGTGAGCTTCATCAAGTATTACCACGGTCCCCTTCAGGTCTAAGTTGTGTGCTCTCCGGCTCTGAAGATAAGAAAGAGAATGAAGGAATGGAAATAAAGGCCACAGAGAAATACAGATTTGATTAACTAAGAAAGTGGCTCAAGGTATAGATTTGTTTTTTGCTCTGTTTTGTTTAAGAAAACAGCAAATTGTTGTGGCTACCTAAAATATAAGCTGCAGAACCACTTAATCCAGAAATGAAGGTGATAAAATGCATCACATCAAAGTTCGTAGAGGTTAAAACTGAAATTGTAATAAAGAAGAAAACATTTGTGCAATACACTTGCTTGCTATGCATCCATTCTTCACAGCTTATCCACTAAAAGCCAATATGAAATAAATATATGGGAAAAAAAAACACATTTTAATACATTACCTTTGAGTCTAGTAAATAGTTGTAAGGCATAAAAATAATATCCGCCTGCTGCTTCAGGCTTCGAGAGAGATAATAAGGACAAGCTCTGTTTAAGAAAAAAAAAGTAGCACAAGTTATTAGGTAATACTTCCAGAAATATTAGAATGCATCCAACATTCCTGTTTTATGTTTCATGCTCTCAGTGATTTCTGATCAGCTTCTACAGGAACTGAAACTGACATGCTTGGTTTTAGGGCAAATGATTAGCTCTACTCATACAACTCATCTAAAAAGAAGCACAGAAAATAACGCCTAGTTGTGCACACAGCTCAGAAAAACAAAGAGAATAAAAAGAAATTAAAGAAGAAAGAGTGGCATCCATTACTCCATTATCCTTTCAACCATGAAAGCTAGTAGTAAATGCTGGGCTAGATTATTTTATCTCAACAAGTCAGTCATCTCATCCTCTTAAATCTGAATGGCAATTGCAATATTTGTCATATCAGATAATATTGGCAGCCTCTACTTAAATGAGAATTAAAATACTGGTGAGCCTGACGCTGATCTGACTCAGTCTTTACAGAAGTAAGAATTGAAATAAACTGCTGTGTGATGAAAACAGCTCTAATGAGGATGAAAAAAAGGATGAAAGTCAGAGGGAACATTTACCTATGTTTGTTTCCATTTTTAATCAAGTCTTCAATATCCATGATTGAGTTGACCAGTTCTTTCTCTGTACTCTTTTCTGTGAAAAGTTATAACATTACAACCACAAACTTAAGTAAAAGTCATAGAATATCCTGAGTTGGAAGGGATCCAAAAGGATCATCAAGTCTGACTACTGGCTTCACACAGACCCACCCAACAAAACAACAAAAAAAAATCACGTTTGAGTGTCCAAACACTTCTTGAACTCCAGTAGTCTTGCTACCATGACCACTTCCCTGGGGAGCCTGTTCCAGTGCCCAACCACCCTCTCAGCGAAGAACCTTTTTCTTTATATGACAATATCACACAAAGATTTGTTGTTACCTGTTACCACATTCATCCACTTCTTACTATTTGGTTCTTGAAAGACATTAACACAGACCAAAACTCACACAAGCATGCATATCACACACAAATGCAGACTATGCCAACTCTTTCAAACTTCTCTACCTGCCTAGCAAACAATTCCCTCTCCAAAAAATAGGGCTTTATTTCCACACCCAAACTCACCTTCTACGTTGTTATAAAAATGACAAGAACGAGTCATCACTTTCATTCGGCACATATAGATCTGTAAAATATCACATATTTTATCCAAGAGTAGCACAGCTTGCCAAGTGTTGAAAAGCAAGTTAAGGGGTAAAGAGTTATTGGTTTTCTATAATGCCAGCTAATAAATATATGGTAGTCACAATTCTTTAGTCTCAAAAATATGAATCCCTCTGTTCACATTAAAAGTTACATTCTTTTTTTATGTGGCGCAGAACACTTACAAGCTTGGAGGGAATTTGGTTATATTTTGCCACAAGTATTTTTCACAAGAGTAGTCTTTGATATTACTGGTAAAAATAACAAGCAAAGCAATCACCGAAGCATTACTTTGAAATTGTTACTGCCATTGAAAAACACTTCAGTGGTAGACCAGACAGTAAACTGCAAACTATTAATCATCTCTCATGTTCTATACAATCACATTGTCCTCTGGATGGAAAATGCTACCAAAAGTGTAGAATTAAATTTTGCACTAATAAAAATAGATATGGCAAGTTCCTCCAAATGCATGGAAAACAATTCACTACAGCCTAATAATAAAAACAGTGTAATAAAAGAATGTCAAAGTTAGAAATTACACGCTTTATGTCAATAAATAAATAATAATAATAATAAAACAAACAAAACAAACAGAATCACATGTTCTTATTATGCTTATTTTCACCTGCACGTGGTTGCTCTCTTGTCGTTTCACTTCACTATTGATGCAAAGCTGCTCTCTGGAACCCAAAACACATACCTTTGGCCTGTTCAAACAGAATACACAAAATTGATATTAAAAATAGAGCAAGAAAGAAGAACACAGTTGTACATGTCTAGACTGAGTTTAATAGCTCAAGTGTGAAAAGTTCACGAGAAATAGACGAGCAATAAAACAAGGGTCAGAATCAGAATCAATAAGAGCATGTTTGTAACAGCTATATATATATATGTTTATTTGATTTTATGGTACTATATTTCTCCTGGTAACAGCGGGAGGTAATGAGTAGCAGCTCACATCATCCACTGTAGAATCTGGGTTCTGTTATGACAGTTCAGCCAAATAAGCTGGGGCTGTCACCTATTACAAGCCATTCAAGAGGCAGCAGTCACTGTTATAAAAAGATTATTGCAGGAATTATTGCTCTATAATCATTCATAACACTTTTTTTCCCTCCTTATTACAAGGTTGTATCTTCACAAGGAGCATATAAACCAATTATTTCTGCAGATCCAAAAAGCTCAGTTGCACTCTGTCATTCATGCCAACAGCTGAACGCTGTGACAGACATTGGTACAACAAAACAAATTTCTTCCTGAATTTACTTCATTCTTAAGGAGTTCAACTTTGTAATAGCTTCCCACTATCTTAAAAGGGGGAAAAAAAGGAATATTAGAAGCAAATGTGTGAAATAAAGAACCAAAACCAGACTGAATTCAGGAAATTCTAGGACTGAATAAGAATAAAAACATATCAAAGAACTCCAGGTTGTACATATGCACGTTAACAGAACTACATTTCAGTATCTTTTTTTTATATACATTCATGAATTTATTCGTGCATATATTCAGACAACAATTAAAACAGGGATTTTCTCCACCTTCTCTTTGAAAAGCAGCATTATCCTAAATTGTAATTACCTGTAGACTGTGTTCTTTAATTCATTAATGACCTGCGTAAGTTGTGAGTGCGTTCTGGATGCATAAATTATTTTAGGAATGTCCGTGTAATAAGCTGCCAAACAGAGGGGAAACAAATCAGAAAAACATTATCAACACACCAAGAAGAACACAAGATTCTATTAGTCTCCCTTCCCAGCTGGTGCTATTGGTAACAATTTGCCTTGTAGAGACAGCAAGAACTTTTGTCATACAACTATTCACACACACAAAATGAGCTAAATGGATTTTGAGTGCTCTAAGAAAATTAAAAATACACAGAACACCTTTGAAATCTGTAAAACAGTGTGAAACAGCACTGCAGCTGCTGAACAATGCCCCCATGGCTTTTATAATTCCATACTTTCTAGGAGTGACAGATAAAAGCAAGCATTCATTAATATTCCTGCATCATTCCCGCTGAGCATAAAAGACAAAGTACGTACCTGGAACATCAGCATCCGTGGTAGCGTTACCCCAGGATGACATGGGCCTGTCAGGAAAGAGCTCGACTCCATTCATACGCTGGGCAATTTTGCGGGCTGAGATAGTATCTTTAAAGTGCTCCCGCCAGGCCAGGGTGGAACACAGCAGGCAGAGGGTCTTTCCTGTGCCCGTAGGGCTCTCCAGAATGCCATTTACTTTCTGTATTGAGGAGAAATAAAAGAAATAAAAAAAAAGAAAAAATAATGAATAACTAGCCACAAGATTCAACCAGAACATGTTGTGCTAGACTACGTTTTCCTCAGTAAAAGAGCAATCACTACCTGGTAAACTACACCACACAAAAGAAACATACGTACTTCACAGAGAGCTTTTATAAATGCCCAACCTGCAGGGCCCTCTAATCAACTTTGTAAAGCCCAACCTATTAACCTCTATTTAGCAGAACTCTCCACTCCTGGAGCCACTAGAATGAATTATATTTCAGCTAAAAAGACATGAAGGTATTTGATGCTATTGCAAAAACCAGAAACAGCTCAGATTGCAGACTGCTTATTTCCATTAGAATGAAGACTACACCTCATGTCACAGCTTAGGCAGAGCATTTTGCAAGCGGGTCCATTTTTAAACACTTGATCTTACTGAACATTACAATTTTAAAGTGCAAAGCAATATTACAGTTTACAATACTACTCACTTAGTATTCCCTTACCGTTCCAGGTTAGGATGAAATATCCTAGCTACGATTATAGTGACCATCACCTGCACATTGCTGAGTATTTAATAACTGTATGCTAAAATAAAAGTAGGAGTGAAATCGATTTTAAAAAGGTGGTATGCAGGAGAAGTAGAATAGTCAGAGAAGGTTTTAAAAAGGCATCATACAGACAACAGAAAGGAAACCTGAATAGTGAGTTTTTTTAGCAGATGAACCAATGAAGGAAACAAAATGCTGCGGAGCTGCCCTGCGACCCGGGCAGGCCCCGAGACTTGTCACATGGTCTGAATTTTTGGGTTGACCTGTGGGGTTCCAGGAGCTGGGCTCGACGATCCCTGTGGATCCCTTCCGGCTCGGGATATTCTGTGACTCCTGGGGGCAGAACTCACCTTCTGCAGGCACTCCAGCACCTTGGTCATGTACACCTCCTGGCACTTGTACGGCTGGAAGGGGAAATCCACCGGGACGCCGTTCAGCGTGATCCTGGGCATCCTCACCGAAGGGGGGGGCCTGCAGCGGAGCGCAGCCTCGTCACCCGCCCCGCGCCCCGCCTCGGGCCCGGCCCCGAGCCCCAGGCCTGCCCTGGGGGAGCGCGGACAGCCGGGACCGGGCCGGGACGGTGCAGCCAAGAGGCCCGGGACCCCCTCTACCACCCCCCAACCCCCATTCCCGTTCCCGGTCCCCATTCCCGGTCCCCGGTCGCGGTCCCATCGCGGTTGCCATGGCAACGCACCCGGAAGCGCCGCGCCCGCCGCTCACCCCCCGCTCCGCCGTTCGGAATCCCCGCGCCTGCCTCACGGCTCCACTTCCGGCCCGTGCGTCCTTACGCCACTTCCGGCGGGGCGCCACCGCCCGGCCTGCGCCGTTGCCATGGGAACGGGGCCTTGTGGGGGGGGGGGCGCTGCCTGGGCCCTGTGGGGCCGGGGGCTTTGGGGGGTCCTTGGCCTCTCTGAGGGCCGTTTTGAGAGCCCCCTCGGCCTCTCTGAGGCCGTCGAAGGGTTTTTGTGCGTGTAGGGGTCCAGCAAAGCGCGCAGTGTGGGAATAAATGCTTAGAAGTGGGGTGTCAGTGTCCCTGGGTTTACAAAAGCAGGGTTTTGTGAGGGGGGGGAGGTGGAAAGCCAATATTTCCTGCCCGGCTAGTGTCACTGCAGCTCCCCACACGAAGAACACGAAGAGATGAAGAACAGGAGGCGGCTTGTTTTTACTGTGATTTTCCCTACAAAACAAAACAAAACAAACCAAACACTACCCCCTGCTAAGGGTAGCGTTCATATGCAGAAGTGTTCAAATATTTAAAATTGTCCATCAAAAGGAGCAGACCTTAAATGCAAGCATTACATAATCTGATCTCTTTCTCAAGTTTCTGGTATATTCTGTGTTTTCCCTCTGTTCAGTTGCAGGTTTGCTGGTGTGTTTTGGTTGGCAGCCTCTAAATTCCTTTATCTGAACTCGCCTGGCTTGAAAATTGTCTTTAATCGTAGCTAATGGGCTACAGAGTTTTGAGCTGTTTTTTCAATGCTTCACAGCGCTCCGTGCTAATGTAACAACTGATTTTGTTCGTGTTTCTGACCGTGTGAACTCTTTAACTCGATACCCATCATGCCAGATTAAGCTGCAAATGAAATGACTTTGTAAAAACTGTAAAATGCCATGAGAGTGTATGAGATTTATCATGGAGAATAAAGGTGTAAAACTGATCACAGATATATGGAATATTGTCATTATTTCCTTTAAACACAGCTTTACTACGCTGAAGCATAATATCAGTACTGCATCAAATCCGATTATTTTAACTGCTATTTAAGTAATGTTGATTTAAGCAATATTACCTTTAGAGAGAGGAGCTGGAAGGCGACCAAGCCCAAAAAGGAGCGTGAGTCAGCAGATGTGCCAGTGTCCAGGGGCAAATGAGTCAGCACTGCCTGAGTGCTCCTTATCCTTCTGGAGGGTGGTTTCTCTGCACCACTTACCTTACTTGACCAAGTCTGCAGTGCCGGCACCAGCAAGCCTGTCTGTCAGCGCTGCACCCGACCATTCAGAAAACTAAGAGAAAAAAAATCTTGTAAGTTTAGAGAGAAAAGATCTTGTGAGTTTAGAGAGATACATTTTTTTTTTTCTCAGTTAAGTTTGCTGAAGAATTGTGAAGGTTTACTGAAACTCTTTATTTTGTGACACAGACAGGGCAAGTAAAGGCATTGGTTTTATGCCTAGACTGTCATGCTGGTGTCTGGCTCCCTAGGACAAAATCCAAAGCAAGAGTTTGGAGAAGGAGGAAGAGAGAGAAAAGGAAGGTTTTAAAGTGAAAAGAAAGGTCAGAACGGTGATTATACGGCAGGCCAGTCCCAACACCTCTAGCAGTCTCTACATGCTAAGACAAGGAAATACAGGCTTACTGGGGTTCCTCCCTGCTTGCTCAAATTAGGGGATGGTGATCTTGGATGAACATTTTTCATTTGAAGTTGTGCCGTCAAGGAAAGAAATGTACAAAAGAAAAACCTTGGAAAAGGTGATCCTGAAACTCTGTAGGAGAGTGGGTGTGTGAGTGATTGAACTGCAGAGAGTCCTGCAGGCAGAAGGCTTGTACAGAGCAGGAGTACAAAGGGGATAATCCTCATTTCTGTTCAGAGGCCACCCATGCAGGATTTCCCTTCCCAGACAAGCAAGAATCTTGAGGAATGGGGCAAGAGAGTTTGAAGAGCAGCAGCAACTGACCATAAAAGTGCTGCTTTTGGTGGGAAGGATGTTTTTCTCCTTTCAGATAGGAGAGGATTGAGTTGCCATGCCTTGTCCTTCTGGGGATATGTGATGGTTCCCATAGAAACCATCTAAAACTTTTGTTTGGCCACATAATTATTGGGTTCTTTAGAGTCCAGATAATCTAGAGCCTTGCTGTCTCTCCACTGTTGGAAAACAACAAAACTGCTTTCCTCTTTGATGCTCCAATTTTCACACAATCGTCCCGTCATTAGGAAAGTAAGTAAATGCCCGTTTCGCAAGCTGAAGCGGATGGGATTCGTGATCTGGTAGAAACTGTATGGCAATCACTAGACCATTGCTCACAGCTTCATGTTTTCAAAATTTCGTCTTCACCATTTGTAGTTGCTCAGCCATCTGCCTTTGCGCTGCTAACTTTTGTACACGCGCTGCCAGTTGGAGCTGAGCGCCCCGGGGTGACCTGAATTCATGGCTTGCCTTACACCTTTATGCGACTGAATTAGCACAACTCCTCTTTCCCATCCAGACCCTTTGTACGACTCGACCTCATTTCTCAAGTGCACATGATAGATACTAAAGAGGAAACTTCAGACTAACCCTGTTGTTTCCCTTGCCTTCAGGGAATCATTTTCCTGATTTAGTGCTGGTGTTGTCACAGGTTTCTCTCTCTCAATTCTTTTTCTCCTTGTATTATTTAACAATTTCAGGGGGTTTACTGCTGCCCTATCTGGAATTTTTATTATTTCTTGCCAACTAAGGCAGCTTCTTCCAACTTCAGGCTGCAAATGGTGCTGGAAGGTCTCATGACTACAATATTGCCTGGTAAGGTATTCGTCTCCTGTACTGCAGTTCATGCTCTTCCTTTTAGACCAGTAACTTTCCAAATGGCTTTATTAGTCACTAGGTAAAATTACTCTCCAAATATTTCTCATTGCAAGCCACACTTCTGCCAGGTTGGCAGCCACAAAGAGCAATGTGAAGTGTGCCAGGCCTGCGACCCTCTTGGTAACAACCACAACTTGTAAATCTTCCTCTCAGCTGCTCTAGATGACGGTGTCCTGTAATGAAATGGGAGGGTTGCTACGAGTCCCTCTTTTGGGGGTATTAAAGAGAGATTTTTTTCTGTCAGGTTGGAATTTTTATTTTTATTTTTCTTCAAAGGACATTCCCGTGCTTCAGAGCTAACAGAAGAGCTGCCTTTAGTGGTATGCACAGCCATACTGTTGTAGACTTGCATTTTTTCAGCATTTTTGACAGCGAGAGTTATTGGCAGAAGCCCTTCCTATGTTAAAAGACATCTACAAATGTTTGATTGCTTAAAATGTTGAAAACATTCACAAAGGGGTAGTGAAAGAAGTGCGTGCTATAAAATTAACTTCTTTGCTGATTCTCCATGAAAATCTGTTGTTTCCTGAGAGCCTGCCTGGTTAGATGTCAGGCAGAGGACGATTTAGCCAAATAGTCACTAATTTTCCCTAATCCCCATCTTGGAGAAGAACACCCATCACCTTCAGAAGCTCCCTAGTGAAAACCAGAGGGAACTCAAAAAGATGGTTAAGTTTAAAACAAGGAAGGAATATCTCCTGGTGTTATAGATGGATCCAGAATTAATTATATAAAAGTTATTTATACGACAGGTTATCTAGGAAATATGAACAACACCAGAGCTGAAGTGTGTGATGTGTTGCACACATAAATCTAGTTTGCTCACCAGTTCTTGTATAGCGTACTGCACTGGGACACATGCCCTGGTAGCTTGAAAGTGTTCCTTTTTCTAAATAAAAGGAAGAAAACACCTGTGACCGATGCCTGGAAGCTCCAGAACATCGCAAAGGGCAGACAGACCCTATCAGATCTTCTAGGTAAATAAAAACCAAAGCTCATATTGAATAGTGGGAGAATTATTCCAGCATTCACATGCCTGGGAGAGCTGTCTTATCCTACTGATGCTGAGGTGTGTATAGTTAAACAGAAAACTTCAGCCTGCTGGCTTCAGGATAGCCCATAAAGTCCTAGAAATTCACCCCAAAGAGAAAGCAGAGGGATTTGCAAAAACAAAATGAGCCTTGTATAGAGCAGGAAGCTGTGAACTGTCCAGTCAGGCTTAAAAACAAACAAACAAAACAACCTCCTGTTCCAAATACATGGTGAAAAGGTGTGGATACTGCTAGTATTATTCTAATTAGACTTATTTTCTCTCTCTATATTTTTTTTTTCTGTGATAAGGCTTTCCATTTTACACACAGTGCTGAGAGAACAGGACACTAAGAGATTAGGGGAAAAAAAATAGGAAAAAGGGGAAATCTCTGACTTCTTAAGTGAATGTGGTAGGCACAGCATGCTGCTTCCAGCCCTGTCTGAGCCCATGGCTCCCTGCAGCTGCTGGAAGGGTTTGGCAGCGTCTGCATTGCAGCGCGCTGGGAAACTCGGGGTTTGGCAGCCAGGGGGGATGCTGACGGCTGGGGGATTGCATGGGAGCCTCGTGCAAAGCGTGTCCGATGGGAAACGAGGTGGGTTTGTGCAGTTTTGGTCGGTGGGGTGACACCGGGGTGCTGCTGCTGCTGTCAGCATGAAATGGGGGGGCTTCCGTGGTCCTGAAGGTGGTGTGATACCTACTTCAAAAGCACAGAGGTACCGGCCTCTAGCAGCAGCCACAAATGGCGAAATGACAGAAAATGGGAAGTCAAAGAAAAGATGTCCTGGAAAAAAAAATAAATGAATACAGAAAAGTGCCACTGAATCCAGCAGGCTGTGTTCTGCTTTTCCCTGTCTGTCTCAGCACCGTCACCCCCTGCCTGCAGCCCCTTGTCGTGCCCCAAAAGACGGAGCCCAAAAGCTGCTGGGCCCCCTCCTCCCTACAGCACGGGGCTGAAAATGCGGCAAGATTTGGGTCTGGGGGCTGCAGCCCTGCCTCGCTGAGCCACAGCCCAGCCGCAGCCCCCGGCTGCCTCCGCCTGGGGAAGCTTTGAGGAAAACAACAATAAAACCCAGAGAATCGGCTCCTTTCTGCTTTCAAGGGCCAAGGAAGGAGAAGCAGCCGAGTTGTGTGGAGCAGACAAGAAAGGGAGGAAGAGGAGGAAAAAGCCATCTTCTGCTGGCGTGCGGCTGGGTGTGTCTGCTCGCCTCCCCCCTCCCCGGTGGGGCTGCATTTCTGGCAGGCAGTCCGACTGGGAGGGACCCGGCGTCAAAGCCACCCAGGAAAGGAGGCCTGAGCCGCTCAGTGCCATTCCCAAGCCCGTGACCCTTCCTTCTCCTTCCACCTGCTCCGTGCTGCGGGCTCTCCGACCTCCCCGCCGCGGGTGCCGAGCCCGCTCCCCATCACCACCACCGCAGCCCCACGGCAGCATGGCCAGCACCGTCTCAGGTAGGGCAAGACCTGGTCAGCCCCACGCTGCCCGGCTCCTTTTTATCCTTATTCTCATTTATATATATATTTTTATTATTATTTTTCTTTTCCTTTTTTTTTTTTCCTTGCGTTTCGGGGGAGTTCGATGAGGCGGCAGCTGCCACGGCAGCATTGTTCCCCTTCCTCCCCCAGGCACACACCCCTCTGATGCAAGATAGCAGGTGGGCTTTTTTATTTTAATACGAATGCACAGGCGATAAACTTGCCGGTTTAAAATATTGCTGTCATTACGGTGCACCATCGGAAGATGCTGCTGCATGCCAATTAATAATTATTTTTGTAGCGTGATGCAGCTTTTTTTTTTTTTACTCCTATTTAAAATGTGCTTGTTGTGTAGATGGGTGCAGAGAAATTAGAAATTGCATTTTATTGTGTGAAGATGATAGATTTCCTAAATGGATATTGGGGGAAAAAAAAAAAAAAAAGATGCGGACAAGATGCTGATGGTAATGCCCTAAAATATCCCCCCCACGCCCAACCAGAAAAACCTGGGTGGGTTTCTGTGCATCCTCAGAGCTCCCCAGCCCTGCATTTCTTTCACAGCTCGCTTTTTCTCCATCAGGAGATGCTTCAGGGGAGCGGTCCTCTGATGGCGTTGAGTGAAACCAAATGCTGCAAGGGAAGCCCTTCCTCCCCCCTGCAGTAATAATGGGAATAATAGCGTAGCCCGGGGAGCCTGCTGCTTTGGCTGCAGCATCCCGGGCTGCAGGGAGGATGCTCCTCATCCAAACTGCTTCCTAAAGATGAGTTTTGCCCCTTTTAGGTGAAGAGTGGGAATTCAAAGGGCTGGGACTGGGAACTCGGGTGAAGGAGAAAATCCAGGAACGATACAATGAGAAGGGGGTGGGGCTGGGGGGTCTGCTTCTTTTCCTTCAAAATAAAAGGAGTTTTATCCTGAAACTGCTCTTCATTTCTCAGTGCATAAAGAGGGGCTTGGGGGTGTGAAGCTGAATCCTAAAGGCTCGGGATGTAGGTCTGGATATAAAGAAAAGACAAAAAGAAGTGGGGAGTGCTTTGTGCCCCCTCCCAGCCACAGAACCAGCCAGAAGGAGACCAGGCAGCATCCCTTGCTCCTTTCACTGGCCTGTGCCCGTGTCTCCTCCATGCATTTTCCATCCCTTTCTCCTTTTTAAAAGGCAGCGGAGAAAGGGACAGAAAGATGGGAGGTGCCGCGGGGCGGGTGAGGGTGCAGCAGATCCCGAGGGGGCTTTGCATTAAGAAAAAATGGTGAAGCAGCGCCGTGAAAATGCGTCTCGGAGACAGGCAACCCGCAGCGATTGTACGAGTGTCCCCGTGTGGGCCCACCCTGCTGCCCCCCCGCCCCTATTTTGGGGACAGAGCAGGGCTCCCAGCTGCCGAAACCGAGGCTGCATCGGATGTGACGGGGGCGAGGTGGTGGATGAGGGGCGTGGGGGCACAAAACGCGGCTCCTTTTGGTGCATCCTCGCCCTCCCAGCCCAGCTGGGATGTTCCACCTGCAGGAAGATGCTGCTTTCGTGTCAAAGGGGATCACGAAGCGTTCGCTTCAGGGGAACCACGCTTCCCTGTGGCTCCCTCCACGCCGAGAGGGCGATGTGAAGGGGGAGGATGTGAAGGGGAATGAGGGCTGAGGCAGGGGGAGGCAGAGCAGGGCAGGAGCGATGCTGAGCCTCGCCCAGCTCTGCAGGCAGCAGCCGCCCCTCAGCCACTGCCTTCAGCCACGGGCACGGAGGAAAAAGGCAAGCAGATCCTTGAATTAAGGAAAAAAAAATCATGTTCCGTATTTTCACCTCCATCCCCAGCAAAAGCAAACCCGTGCTGAGTGGAGAGCGGCTCTAATTGCCTGCAGCTGCTGCCCGGGGGGCCGATGATCCCCACCTTGGGAAGATTTCCCTGGGTTTGTTCAACCCCCCAAATCCCCCGGGGATGAAAAAAAAGAGCTGGGGGGCTTGCTTCCCTCAACCCCGCAGCCATCTCCGGCTCCCACCTGCCTCCGCAGGCGTTTCCCCCCGGCCGTGGCCATTGTGTGTGCAGCGGAGGAAGCAGCAGCACATGCTCAGTGCAGGCTCAGCTGCGGTGCTGGCCGTGCTGCACGGGCACAGCTTGCAGGGCAGAGCCCTCACGCCTCCTCCCCGTGCCGCTGGACAAAGCCCTGGTGCCATCGGGCACCCCAAAACGGGAGGCAGCCCCGGGGGCTGAAGCCCCAAGGGGGTTTTTCCCACCACCCATGGGTGTTGGGGCTCAACGTAGAGATATGAGCAGCAGCAGCAGGCATGGAGGTTATGAAATGATGCGGTACGGAGGAAGCCTCGTGGGGTTTTTTTCCTGCTGGTGTGGCTGGGAAGGTGGAGCCGGGAGGGAATTCGGGTTTGTCATTCCCGGCCTCGCAGCAGGGGATGGTGGAGGTGTCCGGATGGATCCTGGGGTTTTCCCCTTCCTGCACTGAGCTGCGGGGGCAGGATGGCTTTTTGTGGGTTGGGGTCACCTCTGCCTCCCTTTTCTGGGGCTGGTGGACACCGCTCAGTGCTGTCCCACACCATTTCTATGGCTGGTGCTGGACACAGTCAGACCCCTTTCCACCCAGCCTCTCCATCACCTTGTTATCAAGAAACAGTAATATTAATACTATTAATAATATACACTATTAATATTCCTTCTCTTCAGTTGTTGGTAGAGTGCATATGGCCTGACTTAGATGTTTATGGTACCTTTATTGGGACTTCAGTTGTACAAGCCAAGAGAACCCCTTTTAGGTCTTTTTATACTCCTACCAATGTATCCAAACAAGGCATCTAAATCCTTGATTTTTTTTTTTTTCTAAAATATGAACCATATCGTCCTTAATGGCAGCGTGTAGACACTGTGATGATCCCTCAGATATCTCAGAAGAGCCCTTCCTTGGAGTACAGCGGTGTTGGTTCAGAGCTGGTGGACGTGTTGTTTGCCAGATGAGTGCGTTCTCCTTCTGCAAAGGAAAAATTGAGATTTAATGCTCTGATGTGGCAGGTCGAAGGCTTGCAGATGAGGCCTTTGGGGCAGCAGTGTGGACTGCAACTTCTTGCTGTATTGGGGTGAACAGGGCTGATGGTTACGGATGGCAATACGCAGAGGGACCTGAAGCTCACTAAAACTTCCACACCATCCTCTGCTAATTAATTGGCAGCAACATTCCTGCCTCACCCCTTCTCTCCGAGCCTCTTCCTCCCTGATGCCCTAGCGACATGGGCCTTACTCTTCCAGCCATAAACCTATGATAAAAAAAAATAATAATAATTAAGAATATATATATATGATTTAGAAATACAAAAGAGCTAGATGGAAGACCATGGGTATGTGCTGTAGCACGTTGGCACGCCTCAAATGGCGAAGAGCTGCTCAGCATATCTTCAAACAGCCCTTTTATGCGTTTGAAGTACCTCTACGTGTTTAGTGCCATCATGGAGAATTTTGCATTCTCTGCGTGTATTTATAAAAATAAATAAATAAATAAATAAATAAATAAATCTATTTGGCATAACGGACAAGTGCAATCACCCTCAGGAAATGAAAACGAAACCAAGATCCGAAGGGACCAAATGTCTGCCTGGTGTCACACAGCACCGATGAACTTTTATACTTATCCTTATCCTGTTCCCATCTCCTCTTTGTCTCATCCAAACCTGACCACCCAGATCTGTATTTGCCCCAAACCCACAAACACACTGGGACTGCTGCCTCCATTTCAGCTCCTTCCAGTCCTTTATCAAGCACCCAGCCCATGCTTCTCCCTCCTGGCGACCCACCAAAGACCAAGCCCAGGCTGCTGGGTCTCTGCTGCCCAGCTTGGCCCCTGATGTCCTGCTGAGACAGGAGAGGGGTGATTGCCTGGGTTATTTTCCTGCAGGAACCCCACATGTTCCAGCCTCGGAGCCTGAGTGATTTGCCAATCGTTTGGCCGCCTGTAATGTGGCTTGATGGGGTGGACACGAGCTGCAAATGAAACCTAGGAGGGAATGAGGCAGGTGATTGGAAACCCCTGCTGGGGGGTGGTTCAGCAGATGTCCCACAGAAGGCAAAGTGAGCCTCACATCTGCCTGTCCTTGTGGATGGCTCCAAACGGGTCCAAGTTCATCGCATCTCCAAGATGCTGCCTGGCATCAGCATGGGGTGCAACCTCTGATCTGCACGATCCCTCCAGTGAATTGCTGGGCTTTGTCGTCCCTTTTCAATACCAATGGAGCTGCATTGCTCCTATTTTTCTGGATCCCACTGGTTTCACTGGTTCCCCTTCTCTTCTGGTTGCGTGAGCTCTTGTGCTGGTGGATGTTGTGGGGCAGGAAGATGGAAATGAGTTATTCTGAGACAACGGTCTGGATTCTGTGATTCTGTGATTCTGTGATTCTGTGATTCTGGGATTCTGTGATTCTGTGATTGATTCTTTGATTCTGTCATCTTCATGGCAGCATTCTTACCAGGTGAGAACATCTGCACTCTGTTGTGCTCTGAAGGCTCCTCGGGGACTGTGGCTGCATTTCTTGTGTCTGTGGCATGGCAGAATTTGTGCTGCAGGGCCCCAGTCCCCATCTCTCTCGTTCCTTTACCTTCGGTTTGTGCTTTAGTTACATTTATAATTGGACTCTTCTCGTCTTTTCATGGTACAAATGAAAATACATTTTCATGCTTTATGGAAGCAATTTTGACTTCTCCAAAGTTATCTTTGCAAAACCAGCGATTTTCTTGTAACAACCTTCCTTTGACCTTGCTACCAGATGTAGCACGCTCGGTCCCATCCCTTTAATTGTCTGGATTCACACAAATGAGCCTCACTGTGCCTCTGGTTCCTTCCGAATCACCCTGCATCGGTGTGGTGCCTTACCAGCCCATGTTTTGCTGGACATCCTAAAACACCTCGCAAAAAGACATCTGCTCAGCTTGATTTATCTGGTTAGGAAGCAGAGAACCAAACTTTTTGGGTGGTGATGGGCTGGAGCTGGCAAGCCCTGTGGTCTCACCACCCCATGGGATTTGGTTCCCTTTGCTCAGCACCGCTCCCACCCCCAGCCACTGCTCCTTGTCCTGCTCCCAGCCTGTACAGCCCCAGACAGACCCAAATGTACAAAGCCAGGACCCTCCTCTCCTCGCAGGATGCCTGTGCTTATTTAGCCTGCTAATGGTGCGTTGGCCACCTCTTTTTTGTCACTGAGCCTGTCAGATCAAAAAGTGCACGAGGATGGGGGCAGCAGGGTGGCTGCTGCTGGCTCTCAGTGCTGGGGGCCGTTCTGGGCTGCCCCTCGTGGGTGATTTATTTTTTGGGGTGGGAATTGGGGTCGATTTTTTCCCAGGGGTCAGTTTTTCCCCAGGCATCGGTTGTTTTCCAAGGGGTTATCTCTTTTCCCAGGGGTCGGATGTTTTTCCAGGGTCGATTATTTTCCAGGGGGCAGTTGTTTTCCCAGGGGCTGGGGTCATTTTTTTCCCAGGGGTTGGGGTCATTTTTTCTCCTAGGGGTCGGGATCATTTTTTCCCAGGGCTCAGCTGCTTCCCAGGGCTGGGCCCTTTGCCCCCTTTGTCCCCAAGCCCCCGCTGTGGCACCTGGCAGGGCTGGGGGTGGCGATGCTGAAGGGACAGCTTTGCACCACCAGGATGGGGCCGGATCCTGCCAGATCCTGGAAGATCCTGGTGGGATTAAGGCAGCTGCTACCAAATGAAATCCCTACAGCAGACCTCCAGGAAGGCAGGGCTGCACCTATCTATGCAGGGAACCATGAAACCAGCACTGGGGACAGCTGCCGAAGTTCAAGGACTGAAACCCAAATGTTTCACATGTGGCACATCTGCTTAACGTCTTGGTTCCAGACAGAACCAGCCAAAATGGTAAAGAAAGGACCTCAGTGCTTTCTGCTAAGTGTTCACATCTCCCATTTTGGCCAGGGATCCCCCCTCTGGGCTCTGGCAGCACAGCACCAGGCACCAGCTTCTTGCTGCATGTCACCAGCCCAGCACAACGCGGCGCTCCCAGAGGCTTTCCGAAGTCCCTGTCACCAGGAACAGAATTGAAATGTCCTGCCCTGTGGCTTGCATCGCTGATTAAACCGCCCCTGTTGGGTATACACACAGCCACACAACTGGGAAGGGCGCTGAAACCAGAATGTGGAGCAAACAGAAATGTAAAAATCAGTAAAAAAAATCAGCTCGGTAAAAATCTGAGCTGCAGGAGCTGCTGCTTGGCCCAAGCGGGGTGTAAATTGGGATGCGGTTCTGTGCCTAGGAGGAAAAATAAGTGTGAGGATGAAGCAGGCGTATGGAAGCACCGTTCTTCTGCCAGAGCAGCCAAGAGTGTGTCAGCTCTGTTGGAGGGAAAATCTTCCAGGGGAACTTACACCTCCGGACGTGGTAAAATCCTAATATCTTCCCATGATGCTGCTACTCTGGTCTCTAATTTAGTCTACTCTAGAGCAGATACCCCTTGGGGACCTTTTGGCAACCTGTGGCAGCCTGGCAAAGCCTCCACAGAGTCTGGTAGCTACAAACAGACCTCCTGGTCCTTTTTGTCCTCCACTTGCTTCCTTTCTCCATGAAAAAAGAGCTCCTGTTGCCGTTAGACTCCCTCCTCATTGCTCTTCCTTATTTTTCAGCCTACAAGGAGAAAATGAAGGAGCTGTCTCTGCTCTCCCTCATCTGCTCCTGCTTCCACACCCAGCCGCACCCTAACACCATCTACCAGTATGGAGGTACGTAACCTGCTCGTGTGGGCTGCAAAATTGTTCCCAAATGCCCCTGCTGGCAGTTTGGTTGATGTGGGAGCTCACCAGTACCCCCCCATCCCCTCCTGGGGCAGCAATCCACATCTCAGCCCGGGCCCTTCAGTTTAGGCTCCTTCCCAGTTAATTTTATTAAGACATGCTGGGAATTTAAAATAATTGAATTGACCTGAGGGGGGGGGATGAAGCCAATTAATCAGGAAATTCTGGGGATAAACCAAAACCACCCAGGTCAGGACAGGGGAATTAACACCTTATTCCCACGTGAAGATCCCAGTGCCCTCAGGCCAACGCTCTCCTGGGTGTCACAGTCACAGAACTCTTGTTTTTTCCCCCAAGATATGGAGGTGAAGCAGCTGGACAAGAGGGCATCAGGTCAGAGCTTCGAGGTGATCCTGAAGTCGCCTTCAGATTTATCTCCCGAGAGCCCCATCCTTTCCTCCCCCCCCAAGAAGAAGGACCTGTCCCTGGAGGAGCTGCAGAGGAGGCTGGAGGCTGCAGAGGAGAGGAGGAAGGTAACGAGACAGGGCCTTTAGGAGGGTACCAAATCGCACCAAACCCTAAAGCAGGCTTCTCAGGAGCAATCTAAGCCGGCCAGCATTAGTGTTCTTACCCTTAGCATTACTCAGCTGTAAATAGTCAGGTAAGACATGGGGGTGATGTAGATTTGCAGCCTGTTTTGGGCAGGAAATTGGGTTTGGTGTCCACGGTTGTCCTGTTCCTACAACTGCAGAGCTGTTTGGAGCCCTGTCTGACCTTGTGGGCATGACCAGGCTGTGACAGAGCTCTTGCTCACCCGAGTTCAGCTTCAAAGCTTGCTTTTCTAACAGCTGCCTATGCTACTTCCCACCTTTTATCATGAAATATCTTCTGGTGAAAAATACAGAAAAGGAGAAAAACTGAAGAGTAAGGCACAGGATAATTGTTAGGGCAAGAGGAAAGGGCCTCAAGCTGTGCCAGGGGAGGTTTAGGTTGGATATTAGGAAAAATTTCTTCCCCAGAAGGGTTGGGAGGCACTGGAAGAGGCTGCCCAGGGAAGTCACCGTCCCTGGAGGTACTCAGGTGGGGTGCTCGGGGACGTGGCTCCGTGAGGGGCTCGGTGCTGGGTTGGACCTGGTGGTCTTTGATGTCTTTTTCACCCTTTCCCGGTGCCTCGCCAGACCCAGGAGGCGCAGGTGCTGAAGCAGCTGGCGGAGAAGCGGGAGCACGAGCGGGAGGTGCTGCACAAGGCGCTGGAGGAGAACAACAACTTCAGCCGCCTGGCCGAGGAGAAGCTCAACTACAAGATGGAGCTGAGCAGGGAGATCCGCGAGGCGCACCTCGCCGCCTTGAGGGAGCGGCTCCGCGAGAAGGTAAATGCACGGGGCTCGGGGAAACGTGTGGGGCTCCAGGGAAATGTGTGGGGCTCTGGGGAAATGTGTGGGGCTCTGGGTAAATGTGTGGGGCTCCAGGGAAATGCACAGGGCTCCAGGTTAATGCCTGTGGCTCCAGCACCCATGGGTGCTGCAGGCTGCAGACCCCGGGGCTGCAACGGGCGTGAAACTGCTCTGGGTGCTTTTCTTCTGGCTGGTGCCAATGCTGTGTGCAGGACAGGAGGAAAACAGAGCTTGCAAGAGCAGAAACTGTCAGCCTGTAACTGTCGAGAGACACCCCCAGCTCTAGGCTTGCCCTAAAGATTCACCTGCCTGGTGTCCCCTCTCCTGTCTTTGCAGGAACTGCACGCAGCCGAAGTGCGCAGGAACAAGGAACAGCGGGAGGAGATCTCTGGATAAAGGGCTTTTCTACACACCTAGCACCTGATTCCTGTTAACAAACCAACCAACCAACCAACACATTTTATTTTGTTTGTCTAGATGCAGCGTTTGGTTCTCCATCCCCCCCATCCCCTGGTGTTCGTCCCCCAGCTACACGCTTCTCTATCTCTGCATCCTAAATCGTTCGGTACTTGTGGGGGTTCACAGATGATAGGGACCTCTAAGCAGAATAGCAACTAGCTCACACGAAATAGAGAATCAGTGGATCAGTCGATCAATCAGCTTCTTCGGAGGGTTTGTCCTTTTTTTAAAAAAAATATTTCTTAAACTAATGTAAAAACGAAGATGTTAATAAATTCAACCAGCAGTGTCACGGAGATACGGATTTCTTATCCGGGGCTTTTAGTACTCTCGGTGTTTGCTCTGAGCCAAATCTCAGTTTCAGGATAATGGGAAGGAAGTGATGATTTCTGTGTGTGTAGTGGAGCAATGAGTAGAGCCGTGTTTGCCAGCGGTAGGAGAGGTGTGGGAGAGGCAGGGACTGGCTGTGGCAGTGGGGGCGTGCAGCCCCCAGCTCTTGGCCATTACCCGAGGCTGGTCCAGGCAGGCAGCAACCCAAAAATCCTCATCTTTGGGTTTTTCTTTGGTAGCCTGTGTGGAAACAGCTGAAGGGCTCTCCCAGAGCTCAGAACCATATCCCCACTGTCCCTGTCCCCATGGGTGCTGGCTGATGCCCCGGCAGAAGCCTTGGACAGGCAGCACGGGGGTGAAGGGGACGCGGGGTCTGCAGCTGCCCGGTGCTCCCGAGACCTCTCTCCGTAGGAACACAGCTCCAGCAGGGACAGGGCAGGGTGGTGAGATGGCAGACATGATAACCACCCTTCCCTCTTCCCAGTGATGCACCTGGCTCCTCGGTGCCGTTGTGGGATGGATGCTGAGGCCAGGGAGCACCGGGCACAGCCCCAGAGCATGGCAGGGCAGGGACACACCACCCTCCTGCGTGGTCCTCTCCACCCGGCTGCCTCGGATGAGGCAGAGCTGAGCAGGGAGCAGCTCTGCAGGAAGGGGGAAGAGATGTTCCCATGCTCGTTTCTTGTCTATCTTTAGCTTTCCAAGGCCTATTTTTAAGCCAACTCCGTCTCTCCGTGGAGGTAGAGATGAGCAGGGAACATGCAAGCGTGGCGTTAGCAGCTGACGGTAACGTCACCTGGCTAGGGGGCTGTCACAGCCTTCCTGAGCTGCAATGGCACCGCTTACCAAGCACACTGCGGGGGCTGCCACCCGCAGCGCTGCCCACCCTGTGCCCGCTCTGCTTTTGGCTCGAAAAAACTGAAAAAGAGGCAACGTTGCATCTGACGCCCTGCGGGAATCGCCACCCGGTCGCTGTGGGGCCTCATGCGAGCGGTCGGTCCTTGTGTGAGCACGGTTTCGGGGCAGGATTTGGTGGAGGAGATGGATGGTGGAGGCTGCGTTTGTTTGGGGCAGAGGGCAGTGAGAACTCCCCTCTGAGCAGAGCTTACAAATCGCTGTGGTGGTGCGCTTTGGATAGAGCAGAGTGGTGGTTTTGGGGCACGGCACCGGTGGCATCCCTCCCTTCTCCCCGGCTGCTGTCTCAGCACGAGGAAAGGGACATGCGAGGGCTGGAGACATCTAATTCAGGGCCGTGGTGCCCTCTGCACGGCGTGTGGCCAACGTGTTGTGCTGGGGGGGGAGATGGGAGATGCCTGCGCTGGGTTTTGAGTCCTTGGGGAAGATGCTGCAGGGAGCGGGCACAGGGGCTGGGGTGAGGGATGGCAGCGGGTGAGGATGGCCCACCAGGAGCTGCCTCACCTGCCTCTCCCCCCCTCTTGAAAACCACGGCTGAGTCTGCTCAGAAGCTGATGTTTTCAGCCTACCCTGTGCTTTACTAGTGCAAAGAATTCGTTAGGGCCTGAAGTAAGCATCGGGCGGCCACAGAAACCCGACAGAAAGCCAAAGAGCAGCTGCTGGAAATCAGATCCCTGGGCTCTTTGCTGATCCCCCAGAAGTCCTGGCCAGATTCGGGAGCGACCCCTCCGTGGCCGCAGCACGTTTCGATGTCCGGGGAAGGCTCTGCTCCTGGAAGGAAGGGCTGCCTCCTGCCCAGCCCCTCTGCCCGGGGTTATCAACGAGCCCCGGCCCCGGCCAGTGACAAAACGTGATTTTGGGCAGAGAGGGAAAAGGAGCGGAAACTGAGGGTTGAATTTCTTAATCAGTAGCTAACGATCAGTTTATAGTAGCAGCTGTCTTAGATAAGCATCTGTGTAGAGCGCGGCGTCACCGCCAGCATCACCTCATTCATATAGTGACAAGAAATTTTAAAAAAGTTTAAAAAAAAAAAGAATTTACAAAGTAATTTAAACGAAATGTTTGTGTGTAAGAAATGGTTGAAGCTGTCTAATGTCTGTGTCCCGCGCTGGCGGGATCTGAGAAGGTATCTGCAAGATATTAACCCCGTCCTGCTCTCTGTGGTGCTGAGTGTTTGCTTGGTGTGTAATTCTGACCTGGAGCTTGTTGTAAATACTGTTTTTAGTACTATGATTATTATTATTCTCAGAAATGTACTCATGAGCAGGAGTCTAGAAGGAGAGAAACGACCCCTGTCCCTCTGTCAGCGGGGCGCACGAGCGGCTGGAGGTGGGGAGCAGGGGTGGGGGCAGCAGCCCGCATCCAGCCCTGGATGGGTGCTGCGGGTACCAGGAGGAGGAGGAGGACAGAGGGATGGGATGAAGGTGATGCTTGGGATGTGTGCTGTGTTTAGGTACGGTTAACGTAGCGTGAGGTCCTGCACGAGGGTGAGGCTTGGGGTACAAAAGCAGAGCCCGGTGCTGGGTCAGAGCCCCCCTCCCCACGGTGCCTGAGCCCCTGGCTCGGTCCCTGCCTGGTCTTGCAGCTCAGCCCTTCGTGCCTGCCCTCCTCCACGTAAGGCCAGCCTTGGCCTCGGGTGGAGGCTTATTCTTGCAGGTTTTCCTGGCAGTCAGTCCCGCAGGGAGTGCAGAGAATGACCTGGCAAGAGGGGAGCCCGGCATGTGAGCCCTGGGAAACCCATTTTTCTCGCCTCTGTTGGGTTGGTGCCGTGAGGTTCAGTGGATGTGGCTGGCAGATGTGTTGCTGCGGGGGGAAATTCAAGCAGGGATGTGTTGGGCTGAGCTCTGTGCTGGTGACATCGGGGACTGGCACTGTCACCGCTGTGCAATGTCATATAGGGCTGGATGTGCTTGGTGACACGGAGGTGAACGCATGAGGGACACAAGGGGACCCCGAGCCTCACCCCGTGCCATGGGTACTATCGGGGGAACGCCCGCAGTGAGCACGGGATCTTCCTGCTCCTGGGGCTGCCGGTGGTTGTGTGCTGCAGCATCCTTCCTGCCTCAGCTGCGACTAATTAAGTGTCCTCATTAACAGCCTCACAGCCTCGTCCCCTGTCTGTCTGGTTGTGACTTCCCCACCATTCCCACACCCCGTGGTTGCAGTCCCCAGGGCGATGGTGCTGGTGGCAGGGCCAGGTTCCTCCCTGCTTCCCGTGGCTGCTCCGTAGCCGAGCTCTGCAGAGGCAGACACGGGACTTTGTGCTCGGTAGGAGCCTTTCCTCGAGGCTCCTCGAGCTGACAGAGGACCCGTGGCTGTGTGAGGGAGGAAAATGAGGTGGTGGCAATTCCTTGGTGTGCATGCACCTTGCACAGAGCTCTCCTGAAGAGCCTCTGAGTCAAGCAAGGCAGGAAAGCTGAAGCTAAATTAGCTGCTGGGTGATCAGTGGGTCTGTGCGAGAGCTGCAACAAGGGGCCTGAGAGCCCCAATTCCAGCTCTGCACAGTTATCCTTTGTGGCAAAGTGCTCAGCTCTGTCTGCACATGGGGGCTTTCAAGGATGCTCAGACTGCTTCTGGGCTGCGCCTTTCCCTTGTCTTATCAATCGTGAGCCATGAACATGCTGTAAGCGAATGTGGGGTTACCTTTGAGTTAACTTTTAGGGACAGCGGCCGTTCACGCAGCCATCCTGCACTGGGGGCAGCTGGTTTGCTGCCCCTCTTGCCAGGCAAACTTCAGCTCGCTTTAGCTTAGCCCAGCTGGCTCCCCAGCCCTGCGCCTGGCTGGCACGGCTCGTCTCACCCCGTTGGGCTGGGCACCCCACACCAAAACGCAGAGGTGGAGACCATTTATGCACATCCACTCCTCCTACCACTTGAAACGAGTCAGGGAACGGCTGTTCATGGTGCTAGAGACTTCTCACCACCCATGCTCGGGATGAGACGACGCAGTAAGGCCAGTAACCTCCACCGCCGCAGTCAGCTGTAGGGCAGAGGTGCCAAGTGCTCTGAGAATGGGAAGCACCAAAGCACGGGGACAGTCGAGGTGGCACGGCACCCTCAGGTGAGCTGTCACCTCCCAGCCATGCTCTTGTCCCCAAAAGCTGCTCGGGGCTGAGCATCGCCGCCCGCCGTGGCTCTGGTGGGACGGGGCGGCGGGGTGGCGAAGGGCTCCCCATCCCTAGCAGAGCCCGGTCTGGTTCCCGTGGCTCTCCCGCGTGCATTTCATTGTCAGCTTGAGGTTGTCGTTGTGCAAAAAGAAGTGATGATGAAAAATGAGTTAAAAAAGAAAAAAAAAAAAAAAAAAGAAAAAAACTTGGTATGAAACCATGTGTGTCCATCTCTCCATAAATAGATTGTTTGAGTTCTAAGGCTCCTGTTTGTATTGTGAGAATACCAATAAAATGCATTGAATTGACCTAAAGATTTAACAAAGCAGAATTTAAGCCTCTGTATGTTAAGTAAGTACTTTGCACCCAATATAAAAGATGCAGAAACCCATCGTTTATCACTATTCTCAGAGGAAAAAAATAAAAAATAAAACGCTTGAATGGAGGCACCACTACCAAGCCTTGTGGTTCGAAAGGCGAGGGCATGCAACGTCTTTACAGAGGAGGATCAAAAAAAGATATAAGACAATTGCAAATACAATAAATCCAGTTCTGGAAAACTTGTGAGCTTCTTCTTTTTCTTTTAATAGAAACCCAGTGCCTGTGTTCCTGATTTCCCAGCAGCTGCACAGCCTTCCCCCCCCGGGGCCGGGTGGGGGTGAGCGGGGTTGGGTTCCCCAGAACAGCCCCAAAAGGACACTGCCTCAGCCTTGGCTAACATTTCCCTGGGCCACGATGCACAAAAACACCCCAAAAGCTGCAACAGGAGGGTCTGTAACCCCCAAAGACACCCGAAGGGAAGGCGTGTGGCCATTTCCATAGCAGCTGCAGCAGTTGGCCCTACCTGCCTGTGTCCCCAGCCCCACCGTCCTTGTAGGAACATTTAAAAAGCAGCATCCTTATGGACTGAGATGCATTTTGTGACCCTACAAGGCGGTGTAGGAGAAGCTGACCCGAAGGGAGGGCAGATGGGGTTTTACCCAGCAGGGCCCTCATCCCGGGCAGGTTTTTGTAGGATCAGGGGGAGCAATGCTGCGCAGGCACCGCCCGGCACCGATGCTCTTCCCACGTGTGTGCAGGATGCCGCTTGCCTGCACAAACAGGAATTCTATTTTTGCAGCGTGACCTTCGTGGTTTGTAAGATAAGATCCTTACTGGGAACACAACATTGCTCGGTTTTCTTCAGAGGTTCGCCATCTGCGAACCCAGGCTTGGGAACTCTTAACAAAGTGATCCCGGTAACCTGAGCCTCTGCATTTGCCCCTCTGCCACAAAAAATAATAAAATAAAATAAAATAAAATAAAATAAAATAAAATAAAATAAAATAAAATAAAATAAAATAAAATAAAATAAAATAAAATAAAATAAAATAATAAAAATTATATCAGAAAGACCAAGCGTGGCCATCCTCTCCAGGCCAGATCCTTCATCCCGGTGTGATTTGAAGGAGCAAACAGCAGAGGGGTGGGATGCATTGATGCAGGGCACCCACACACAGCACCGAGCTGCTGGCAGCACCAGGGCTGCCCAAAGGCACGATCCTGAGGTATTGGACCAGCCTCATCACTTGTCCAAACTCTTCTGTAAAGGTCAAAACCTGGCCAATAAATAAAATGTGAGCAACTTGGAGGTTCCCTACAAAATGCTCAAGTCGTATCTGAGCAGGGGGAAGGGAAGAGAACAGCAGCTCTGGCAGATGAATGTAAAACACTCCTGGGCAGGCAAGAAAAGATTTTGCAAAGTAATTTGCTTTGGTTATAAAGCAGCTGTAGGTGCTGCAGCAGTAGCCTTGTGGGCACTCATGCGAGCCCAGCGGCTTGGGAAGGAGGCAGAAAGAGGCACCGAGTGAGCCCTTGTGGTCCCCTGGGAGGAGCTGGGGGGTTCCTGGTGTCCAGCTCTGGCAGAAAAAGGAAGATTTTGCTTCCCGATAGGGCACAGAGTGCAGAGAAGCACTGCTGTGGGTTTGCCCTCTTTTACCATCTTCGTTACACCTCTGCCGTTGGCCACCATCAGGGACTGATAGGGTGGCAGAGGGAATTTTTATCTGCCCCAACCATCCACGCTCAGGTCTGGTGGTGCAGCTGGTGGAACAGCAACCTGGGCTGCTGCTGCCTGTGGGTTGGTAGAAATACAGGCAGGATCCCACGAAAAAGGGCTTCGTGATGTCTAGTGAGTGAATTAACATTGCTGCTTGGTTAGATTTGGTTATCCAGGAGGAGAAGCAAAAAAAATACATCTCCTCGTGCAACATCACGTTAATGAGAATTAGCTTCAGGAAACTGGAAAGCGAGCAGGGATGCGAGGGAAGCAGCATTTTGGCAGCCAGTTATCTGGTAGCCCTGGTCTGGATGGGGAGGACGGAAAAAGGAAGAGCGTTGGACAAAATAAACGCTAAATAAACCACCACAAAGCCATCGGAGGGGTTCATCAGAAATTCGTGTGAAAAACACAGGTCACCAGGCCAAACATGAACAGACAGACGGCCACGCCACCTGAACGCGGCAGGGACCGGGAGGCAGAAAATGCCATTTGCCAAGCAGCTGGGAAGAGCCGACAACAAAAAGTCACTGAGACTGCTTCAAGAAGCGGGTTGTGACTTTCACAGCCCCTGGCGTGGCTTTTTCAGAACGTGTCACCCACCCACCAGCAGAAAAACCGAGATGGAGCGAGACTGCTCAAGAGCCCTCCCCGGAAAATCCCTGAGTGCTTCTGCAGACCCCGGCTGTCACAAGCCAGGGAGGCCCAGAAATAGCAGAATTTGCACCAAAACCTGCGAGCGGCTCAGGGACGGCTCCTGGGCTCTGCCCATGCCCCGAGCTTGGGGTGGGACGCGACGTGTGGTGCCATCAGGCCCAGCCACCACACGGCTCCTGGCACCGCGGGCTGCCTCCAGCAATGCAAACAGCAAAACACTGCCATGGATCGAGCCCCCCCCAAGCACCATGCAAGCCCCCAGGCCCCCAGGGAACCCCCCAGCACAGAGATTTTCGAGGGAGGTGTCCTCCATGGCCGAGGAAAGGCCCAGCTGTGCACAGTGCTCTTGGGCAGTATGAGAACGGCCATGGAGTCTTAGCATGGCCACAGACACGGCCCCTTTCTCCTCCAGCTGCAAAACACACTTTTCTCTCTCCCCTTTTATAATTCGTAGCTGATAAGGATACTAAAAGCGTCCTCAGAGAGCTGCTTTATCTCTTTTAGTGTTTATTGGGCCTTCGAATCGGTGGCACAGCAGCACTGCGGGGCTCTTGCAGGCCTGCTGCATGCACTGCGAACATCAGTGAAGCAAATTTTGGGAACCAGCTGCCTGCAGCGGGGACAGCCCCGGCACCCGGACCTTGGGAGGTCACCAATGGCACCTCGGGGACAACCTGCGGCCCCACAGCAGTGTGGGCAGCACGCACAGCCTGGCAAAGGGGGGCACAAACACCTCAGGCTGTGCATGGCGTGAGACACCCCGAAATGTGGAGGGGAATGAGGTGGGGTCCAAAATGGCCAAGGCAGGTGCAGAAAGCCCCCCAAAAATGCGGTGGGGACTGATGTGGTGTGGCCCCATGGCAAAGACAGGCACAGAAAGCCCCCCCAAAATGTGGTGGGGACTGATGTGTGTCCCAATGGCAAAGGCAGGTGCAACCCCAAGCCCCCAAAATGCGGTGGGGACTGACGTGGTGTGGCCCCATGGCCAAGCAGGTGCAGAAAGCCCCCCCAAAATGTGGTGGGGACTGATGAGATGTGTCCCCAGGACCAAGGCAGGTGCAGAAAGCCCCCCCCAGAAATGTGGAGGGGAACGATGTGGTGTCCCAATGGCAAAGGCAGGTGCAAAAAGCCCTGCCTTTTGGGGGTGTGGATGTGGGGGGGACACATGAGGGGCACTGAGGGACATAGGGGGACTCTGAGGGACACGGGGGGGCACTGAGGAACACGGGGGGGCACTGAGGAACATGAGGGAGCACTAAGGGACATGGTGGACACTGAGGGACACAGGGAGCACTGAGGGACATGGGGGACACTGAGGAACACGGGGGGGGCACTGAGGGACATGGGGGACACTGAAGAACACGGGGGGCGCTGAGGGACACGGGGGGGCACTGACGGATATGGGAGGGCACTGAGGGACACGGGGGGACACTGAGGGACACAGAGGAGATATAAAAGGCCTGGGGGGGGGCACAGGGGGGCCGTACAAAGCCCGTGAGGACCCCCGCGACCACGCAGGGCCCTCCTCTCTGCCCCCCCCCCCCTTCCCAGCCCCCGCCCTCCGCGCACGCGCAGTGCCGCGGCCGGGGCACTTCTTTTCACGGGCGGCTTCGCGAAATAAATCCCGGGCCCCCCCCCCCCCCAGAAAAAAGAAAAAAAAAAAAAAGAAAAAAAAAAGAAAAAAACCACCCTCAACGCGCTTGCGCGGAAGCGTCGGTGGTGGCGGCGGGGCGGGGGGAGGAGGAGGAGGAGGAGGAGGAGGAGGGGGGGGGAGGAAGAAGAGGGAGGGGAGGAGGGGGGGGGGGCCGAGAGCCGCGCGCGCGGCGCAGCCCCGCTCTGCCCCCCCTCCCCCCTCCCCACCCCCCTCCCGCACCCACCCGGCGCCCTCAGCCGCAGCCGCCCGGGGGGGGGGGGCGCCTCCCCCCCCCCCCCCACCTCCTCCTCGCCCCATCCCGTTCCCGGCTTCTTGAGGTAAGCGGCGAGCCCGGCGCCGCGGGGCCTCCCCCCCCCCGCACCCCCCCCCTCCTCTTCTTCCCCTTCCTCCTCCTCCTCCTCCTCCTCCTCCTCCTCCTTCCCCTCCCTCCCCGCGGAGCGTCAGGACGTTACGGCGGGGGGGGGGGGGGGGGGGCTGAGGGGGGTGAGGGGGGGGAACGGGGACGGCACCCGGCTGCCCCCCCCCCCCCCCGCCCTACACACCCTTCACGGCCTTCCTCTTCCTCCTCCTCCTCCTCCTCTTCCTCCCTCTCCGGCCCTCGCTCCTTCCTGGCCGGCGCTGGAGGCGCTGCCCACGCGCCCCCCCCCTTCATCTCAGAGCCCCCCCTTCACCTCAGGGCCCTCCTCTTCATCTTAGAGCCCCCCCTTCCTCTTAGAGGCCTCCCCCCTTCATCTTAGAGCCCCCCCTTCACCTCGGCCCCCCCCCTTCACCCTAGGCCCTATCTTTCACCTCAGGGCCCCCCCTTCATCTTAGTGCCCCCCCCTTCACCTCAGGGTCCCCCCCCTTCACCTCAGAGCCCCCCCACGTCATTGCGGTGCCCCCCCCCCACCCCTAGCACAGGTCCTGTCACAGCCGAGCTCCCCCCTTCTTCGTCGTGCCCCCCCCCCCCGGGGCAATTTCTCCTCATCCTCACCCCCCCCCCGGACACCCCTTCCTCATCCTCACCCCCCCCCCCCTCACCCCCCCCCCCCCTCACCTCAGCACCCCCCTCACGTCAATGTGGTGCCCCCCCCCCCCTCACACCCCCCCATTTTATCTCTCACCCCCCCCCACCTCTGCAACCCCCCCCCTTTGCCCTACTCCACAGCCCCCTGTCTGTGCCCCCCCTGCTGCCATGCCCCTCTCTGTGCCCCCCCTTTACTTTCTACCCC